TATTCCCAGTACCAAGCGCACCAAGAAGCCGCGTGATGCGCCTGGTGACTCCAGGCTCGCTCGATTCAACTACGTGGACGCCCCTGTTGGTGAATTGGCAATCATCTTCACTGATATCAAGAAATCGACCAGTCTTTGGGAGACCTGTCCTGATGCGATGCGTTCGGCAATTCAGATCCATAATGACATCCTTCGTCGACAGCTGGGTATCATTGGTGGATATGAAGTGAAGACTGAAGGTGACGCCTTTATGGTCGCTTTCTCCACCACCACTGCTGCTTTGCTGTGGTGCTTCAACTGCCAGACACAGCTTCTTGACGCCGAATGGCCGACCGAGATTCTTGAGCAGCCGCAATGCCAGGTGGTCTATGATACGGAAAATAACATCATTTTCAGGGGTTTGTCCGTCAGGATGGGCTCGCACTGGGGCGAACCTGTTTGTGAGAAAGATCCAGTCACCAACCGTATGGACTATTTTGGGCCAATGGTGAATCGCGCGTCACGAATCTCCGCGGTCGCTGATGGTGGCCAAATTTTCGTCTCGTCGGACTTCATGAGTGATATTCAACGCAACTTGGAGATATTCGCTGATAGCGAACGGGCTGCGTCGACAGGTTCAGAAGAAAGCTACGCGCTCGATACCCTTGGGCACAACATTCGTCGGGAGCTACAGCAACTCAACAGCCAGGGATTTGTGATCAAAGACCAGGGTGAACGCAAGCTAAAGGGACTGGAAAATCCGGAACCGCTCTACCTCATCTATCCGCATGGCTTGTCAGGACGATTAACGACGCTGGACAAGGATGCAAGCAATGAGCTTGCCCCAACCACCATCAGCAAGCATTCTCAACTAGAGATCCAGACGGACTTGATTTGGCGATTATGGGAAATCACTCTTCGCCTGGAAAGACTTTGCGCCGCGTTGGAGTACCCGGGTGAAGCTCGACTCAAGGAGCCGAACGTAGCTTTATTCAATGTGGTGAAAAACCATGGTGGTGAGCTTGCAGACTCGACTGTGATAAGCCTAGTTGAGCAGCAGGTAACTCGCATCGAGGTAAGTGACATGGATCTTTCAAATATGCAGGCTATATGCGCGATACACTGACAATCCATAGGTCTGTATCACTACACTCTTCATTCGGAACATGATGCGGCCCTTCCGGCCAGGTGACCAGCTCAATGACCACGCTGTACCGATTACAGACGTGATGCAACAACTACAAGCTCAGCTCGCAGAATTCCGAGCTCTAAAGGAGCAAATCGACGCCAGTGCTGGCACTGCAACTAGCTATACATACACCGACCCCCAGTATAGCAACGGTGAGAGCAACTATGACTCTGCCTCGTCGTCCTATCTTCATATGGGACCGCCATCTGACGAGTTTAACCCTGGCGGACCTCGTCCTTGAAATCCACCCTGAACATATCTCCGGCAAGGCTTACATTCTTCGCATCTTTGTTGTATTCCTTGCTCTTTTCTTTTTAGCTTCTTTTTATTTTATCTGCAGAGCGGCGTCTCTTGGGTTGGTGGGAAGTGTGAATTCACAGCATAGGTTGGAGCCTTGGAAGGGTGGGGTTCGTCTTTCTTGCCCTTTATCTCCTTCTTGGTGGTATCTTTCTTCTCCAACTTTTTGGTTACTGTGCATCTAATGGAAATGTAAAAGCAAATTCTCATTTTATCTGGGGGCTACCTCGTAATTGTACAAGCTACATGGAGAGTAGAGCGGGCCGCAACATTCCGCCTCAGAACTGTATAAGGCTTCCAGGCGATGAGTTGATAAGCGAGGTAGAATATGGTTATCTGTCTACCCACTATGTATAACATTCTGGGAATATTTACAATTAAGCGGATTGCACTATCAAGTATATAATATGTTACCATATAGAATATCTAAGTAGCTATTGTCTGGAGGAATGCGCCACGGTGGAGACCTCAGGCGCGCTGCCTCCCGCTCACGTGATGGCACCGTTTGTTATGATTTGTCTGCATGACGGGGGCCAAGGCCAGCTTGCTCATCTTGCCGTATCCGTTCTCCAGCTCGTCCCCTTGTCCTCTCTCCCCTTTTCATCACTCTCTGTCAGACTCGAATCGATTTGTATCATTTTAGATTCTAGAGTGTCTTGAGATATCGAATTGGGTCTTATTTGTTACTCTCAACCGGCCAGTTGGCTTCTCTTGCCACGGCCCCGCTTGGTTGCCCTGGAGACCATCGATTAACGGCTACTTCCGTCATTGACGAGCTGGGGGCTGCACAATAATCAAGGTTCTCATCAAAAGAGCGGAGACCAGGAAGATCTTTCCTTCCCATCCGTCCGTTCAATTTTTCCCTCTCCGCAAAACTCCATCCGCCTTTTCCTTTTCCACATCGGTTTTCGTGGCGTTGTTAAGCTACGCGAATCGCTTCCAACATGGCGGACGGTTTGGAGTATCTCGCTCCGGATTTTGATCTTAATTCCCTTACCGTGCCGCGTCTGCGATCGATCCTTGTCAGCCATGATGTTCCCTACCCTGCCTCAGCCAAAAAGGCTCAACTTATTGGTATCTTGGAGGCGGAAGTTATGCCGCAGGCTCGAAAGCTGCTGAGAGAGCGCGAGAGAGTCAGGAGGACCAGCGAGGGTATTACAGACATGGGAAGTCGCGCGACGTCAGTTGCTAGCGACTATGATGACTACCGCGGAACCCCGGCGAGGGATTCGATGCCACCCCCGCCTACACCGTCTACGGTATCGACAGCCACTGGCAGAAGGGGACGTTCTAGAGCTAGCGTTAGAGCGTCGACAGCGGACACAGAGGAAAGAAACGCTACGGCTACTCCATCAGCGAGCTCGAGGAAATCTATCCCCAGGTCGCAATCGAGAAGATACCGCACGTCAGACACGGAGCCGCAGGAAGATATGTTGGCAACGCCTATGGCAACTGACACCGTGACACCACGGAAGTCCACTACCAGAAAATCCAGACGCAGCGAGATGACGCCATCTGTGAACCCCGAACCTCCCGTTTCTGCCATTAAACTTGAACCGAAAGAGGAAAGCGTTTTCACCGATGATAATCCCTTCCAGAGTGGATCGCCCGCCCGTTGGGAATACAAAAGCCCGAGGCCGTCTAGTCATAAATCGGAAAGAAAGAGCAGCTCGCGGTTTTCGCTTGAATCATCTGCCTTGAGTAGTGGTCTGCGGTCAAGAAAGTCTGTCACGCCAGCAGATCTGCACGATCAACAGGGTGCTACTCCATCAAAACGGTCACCATTTGAGTTGCCCATCTCGAATATGAGAACGCCACCACAGAATTTCGATCCGATCAAGTACGAGGAGGATAGTGATTTTAGTGCGGGCGAGGAATTTACACCAGACGAGCAGTTGGCGCTCGAGAGGGAGCACGCAGACTTGATGTATAGTGCCCCAAGCCGGCGGCCACAGAAACAAGGAACTACAAGCCGCGCTGCGCCTTGGGTTATTCTCGTCGTATTGTTCGCAAGTTTCGCTGCTTGGTGGCGTAAGGAGAAGGTTGAGATCGGATTCTGCGGCATTGGCAAACCCACTTGGTCCTTGGCCGAAACCAGGGTCCCTGAATGGGCCAACATCCTTGAACCTCAATGTGAACCGTGCCCACCCCATGCATTCTGCTACCCCAACTTTGAAGCTCGGTGTGAACACGACTTCTTGCTCAAGGCACACCCGCTGTCTCTGGGAGGCTTGGTTCCGCTTCCCCCCACCTGTGAGCCAGACAGCGAGAAAGCGCGTCGCGTGAAGGCTGTCGCAGATAAAGCCTTGGAAGCATTGCGTGATCGCAGGGCGAAGTGGGAGTGTGGTGAGCTGGCGCAGGATGAAGAAGGCACAGTCGGTGCGGAAATTAGCGAATCTGACTTGAAACAGGAAGTGGGGAGACAACGTCGGAAAGGCATGAGTGACACTGAATTTGATGACCTTTGGAAGGGAGCTCTGGGCGAAGTGATTGGGAGGGAGGAGGTTGTGACCAGAATGAAGCAGTAAGTCGATCAACTTTCTTAATCTGGAGGCTTTATCGCACCTGCCCGGAACCTATGGTGGCACCGAAGGAATCAGATTCTGACGTGTATTCACGGCACTAACAGAGGCGACAACATGATTACAGACCATCCTCTGTCCTCACCCTCACCTCGACCTCCGTCAGCCGTCTCCCTCTCACATGCGCCTTCCGCCGCAACATCCGACTCTCTCTCGTCGCGTATCGATTCCCTCTTTCGATTTTAGCTCTCTGCGCATGTGTAGTCTTCTACGCACGCTCAAGGGTCCGGGCTCGCCGTTCTGACATGGCTCGAGTCCCGGAATTAGTCGCTACCACACTCGACCGGTTGGCGACGCAAGCTGCCCTTCACGCTCGGGGTGCTGCTCGCGAGCCCTATATTCCCATTGGTCAATTGCGCGACGATGTACTCCGCTCAGAACTGCGTGGCAGTCGGCGCGAAGCATTGTGGAAGCGCGTTCGCAGTGTAGTGGAGGGCAATGCGAACGTTCGCGCATCAGTTCGCGAGGGCCGTGGTGGGGATGTTGCTCGCGTCTGGGAGTGGATCGGTGGGATTGGCAGTGTCCGGAGTGAGATCGAGAGCAGCATTGCAACAGGCCGTGAGAGCGGTAAAGTGCATTTTTCCCCACTACCTGCCGAGCAGAGCCGTGATCAATCCGTTGGAGAGGCCACGCTGGCACAGAGCCCAGGAGAATTGCGCAAATGGGATGAGGGCAGACCTATCTACTGAAGGTCTGCTCTGCTTCCTCCTTATCCCCTTCTTGGAAGTTCATACTTTGCCCTCTACATTATTTTACAACTTCGTGTATACACTATTAGGATTCCCCCGCAGCTCAGAATTTTGAATTAGGCAAACAATTTTGCTCGTTGTGTTCCAATTTCGCTGCACTTTGTTCGTACGATGTTTTGGCGGTGTGGATCTCCAGCTCAAAGACCTGTTGAGCCCATAGTTTACTTGGAGGATATTACGAACTTCGAATAGTTGACACAGGAATTAATCTCCGAAATGAGGTGGCGCACGGAAGTAATCTGGGATACCCCCCATTACCCCATCCTTGCTCTGTCGGTATGTTGCGATTACCTCAGGACAAGAAGTGAACGCTTGCATATAGCAAGGACGTCAGTTCGGTAGGTTACTCAGGTTCATCGCCAGGCAACTCTGGTTCGTGACATCAAGCTGTCGTACCGAACCGACTTTGAGTGCGATCACACGACCCCACAGCCACGGCATAGATGCCAGCCTATCAAACGCCTGATACTCCTGATCGCCAGCGCTGAGAGGGAGGGAGCCGTGGTTACAACAGCAACGATTGCCGGGCTCCTATACTAGTTGGACCGTTGCAACGCTCGCAAACCCCACTCACGCAACCGAGCTTCGGCCGCCAGCGGATGGAGGTAGTCCTTTGCTGCATGACTGGTCGGTTCAGGACCTTCATATTTATCAGCTACCTCGACACGATACTCGCACTTCCCTACTCTGCTAGTGGATGGCGTTCATGTGGATTGGGAACTAATGGAACTGCATTAGCGATCTGGGTCCCGAGAACGTCCCCATAGAGTTGGTTCTTTAGTCGCGTCGGTTATCTCGAAGGGGTTTAGATTGTCGATGTGATTGGCAAGCAGAAGATATAGATGCGGTGTAGTTCCAGGGAGTCCACTTGTACTAAGCCCGAGTTGAAAGAACCGAATTTTAACTTGGGGGATGTTCAGAGGTCTAGCCAGTATATAGGTTAGCACAGGGGAGTCAAGTAGTAGGGGAGGGGAGAGTTGAGAACCTTGGCTTGGGTGAGCTCGTATTAGCCAGCCATGGTGAAAGGGGAAGAGGCTGGGAGCAAATGCTATCGAAAAGTAAAACCGACAAGGACTCTTCTGCTGCATGTATTTGAGGGGACCCAGTGCCCTCTCTAGTCGAATCTAGACTTGATTGACTTTACTATTGCCGCCGGTCTTTGACCAAACCAGGCCAAGTCCGACCGGGACTAGCGGCAGTGGGCCACCCGGGCACGTGAGCGCCTGCCTTGCACTGACAGCTGATCTCCTCTACGGCGCGGCAGTTGGTTAACTTCAATCCTCAGTTCAAATCGCTTCCCTTGCTGCTGGGTGAATGGTACTGGCTCACATTCTGGCTTTTTTCCCCTAGGGTTGCGGTGTCCTATGGTTCCCCCAGTCCCCCAGATTCTGACCTGCAGTGTATGAAGGGACTAAGTTGGGGAGCAACCAGGCACTTAGCCTTCCCACTGTGCTTTGAACGCATCCACACCTAAGCTTTGCAGAACCAGTAATCGGGGCACAACCCGCTCTTGGTCTGTGTTTCCTCATTGCATACGTGGGTGGTCACACTGTGGCTAAGAACCTTTGGAAGCAGGTTGTTGACGAAGACATCGACCCAGCGGACTAAGGTCCTGGGTCCTCTGTTCGTTCCGTCGATTGTGTCTCCTCGTGGCCTATCAAATCCTACGGATAAAATATCCGGCTTCAGGCCGCCATCGAATTCGTGCAGAGCATCGGCCGTTACTTTAGTCAACCAATGGTCCTCCGTTAATTTGGTCAAAGTTATGCTCGCACAATCCCAGTAATTTTCCATTCAAGAACCCCCTTGCGAGAGGATTCTTCGAGCGTTTATGAAGGGGCGTGAGGGAGGCCATCTCGTCCAGTCAACCGCCTACAGCAGAAACAAGGGAAAGAAAAGGTTCAACAAAACTAGATTCTACAGATACCCGAGGATTATTGGAAAGGGGAACGCCGGTAGAGCTGCTCAATACGGAAAGGAGGAACGAAGACTGATCCAACGAGTGGTGGTGGGAAACCATATTACTCAGGGAAAGGACGGATGGGCCCTTTAGGCATTTTAGCTGCACATCGCCGTGTTGGAAACTGAGACTGCCTAATCACCAAACTTGCTGTCTGACCGCTGCTGGGTCTGTCCCCAAAAAAACCCACCGAAGGCTGGGCTGTCCCTGATATCCATTGCCATTGCAAACTCTCTCCCATCTTGGTGGATAGTCCGGGTGTCGCCATCCAGCTGGATGTCCCATGCACTGGTCCCCTCGACCTGACTCGCACATCTCATCCCAGCTGGGTTTGTTCTTCGCTGGCACACTCTTCTTGCACCTGGCTTCTTGGCCATAAATGCCCGAGGTTTTGCTGTTCCTGGAACGACTGGAGGAGAGCCACAGCCTTGGGGACGGCCCGTGGGCCTGCGTAGGTCCCGATGTGTCACAATTCACAACTCACACCGATCCTATTTTCACCCCCCCTACTTGTATTGGACCGTAATTTTGAGTTTTTTTTTTTTGGAAAATCCCCCCCTTCGAGAGTGCAGATGCTGCTTTTCGAACCCACCCACTTTCTCTCGTCCTCGACCGCCCGCGGTACGCCGGTGCGACAACGCTGCAGGACCTGGCTAGTCCGTTCGAACATGGGGCTTTCTTTGGCCGTCCGGCATAGATGCGCCTCCTGGTGAGGCGAGTGCTCCTAGAACTTTCTACCCGCGATCTTATCTGACACTTCGCTGTCCCCCTCCCACGGGCCTCTTGTTTTCTCCCGTCGCTGCTTCTTTTCCCCCTCCGTCATCATATACAGACACACTCTCTCTTCAGTCATGGCCCAACAAGGGTCTGGGAAACCTTTTCGTCCCATTGCCCCTAGGAGGATACCAGAGCCTCCAACCCCGGCCGCTGCGCCCGAGGAGGGGAAAATAAAGCGAGCTTCCACGGCTTGCGGGGAATGTAAACGACGTCGAACGAAGGTGAAAACCCCCCCGGCTTGACTCTTCTAGTACACTTCAGCGGTTGCCTTTCCTTTATAATGCATCACAATGATTCATCCAGCCAACCCCCCCTCCCCTTTTTCCCCCTCCTCCCCCACCCGTTAAGTTCCTTTATCCTCCCCCTCTTTCTGTTCTGACCCGGGTGGCGGTATCACAGTGTAGTGCAGATACAACAGGGACGCCGTGCGCTGAATGTGCTCTCCACGACCGGGAGTGCGTGATCGATGAATTCGCCGACAAACGACGCAAGGTAGCGGCCAAGCGTGCCCAGGAGGATCTAAAATATTACCGTGGCTTTGTGGAACAACTTCTTGAGGCGCTGCGATCTAGTGATTGTGCCACCATCGATGGTATTCTCGACGTCATCCGGTCGGGCGCAACTCATGATGAAATCCGGGCGGTTCTTGCTCGCTCCGCGCCGAAGGCTGAGATTAATATCCCCGACGGAGTAGATTCCGTGGTGACAGACGGCAACAACAGCCCGCCGGCGAGCTCCAAGCCGGATGGCCTACCCGAATGACGAGAAATAAAACGAACCTACCACCAGCGACGATTTATACTTGATGACCGCTTACCTTTCCTATCTACGACTCTGACACGAGCACGCGACGACAGCACCGGTTTACTCTTTTTTTTTTGTGCTTTCTATTCTTCGACAAGACAATGAGAGGCTACGTTAATAGGCCTCGAGGAAGGAGACGAGGGGAGGGGAGAAAGGGGCCAGGTTATGTGAAGGGTAATATAATTCCCTTAGGTCACTGTTAAAAGAAACAAAGTGAGAACATACATTTGCCAGGCTTCCCATCACAGATTTCCTATCTTCTCCATATCCTCTCGTCCCTTCAGCTTCTCCTACGGTGGCTCTGGCATAGTTTGGTGGATGGCTGAGACTTGTGAGCGTCTATGGGGGCCCTCTTCGCTATTCTCGTTTCGATACCTTCCTATGCCATTGAAGACATCACGATCAACCCAAAGAGGTCTTAGGTGCTGTCTGTCTACTATGTTGAGGCTGGGTGAAGGTCTCTTAAGCGCTACATACTCTGAAAACAATAAAGTAGCCAGTTCAGGAGACTACACTGAGGAGAGGAGGTGGAACTCAGGGTGCGTATCTTTTTTGGCACCAGAAGCAATGAAGACGAAGCACTTGAGCGACAGAAGAGGCGTCATGGCTACAGGAGCCCATTCTTCACGAGAATCCGCATATGTCGATCAATGGGCTTGAAATAGCGCGCTGGTGAACGCTCAGGGTTGAAGTTGGGTCACTGACAGCAAATCGTGCATATGCAGGTCAGCCTATGATTGGGTCTGTCTGGAATGCACATTAATCTGCATATTTGATCACCTGCCGGCTCATGGGCCTATCTGGACGAGCGGAGGACCAACACGTCTATCTTGTCATTTTTCCGTTCCCCAAGGCACAAGTATGATTCATGCAGATTGCAAATTGGGCCACGGTCGACACCACGTCAGGCTTGCGTTTGAGGTATATTACTGGCTTTACAGGGCTCTTCTACAGAGACTAAGGGTTTATGGTGGTCCACAGTTGGAGAGATCCGTCAATGCCTGGCGTGGCTCGGGCTTTCCGGGGTGGGGTCATGGCTCCAACCATCTTTTGATGTTATATTGAGATTATGAGCCAACGGCGAGCTAGTGTGATCGCCTAGTACTATTCCTCTGCCTGGTTAGTAAACTGCGTTGGCGCGATGGAGGCATTGCTGCAGGGTACTGCAGCCCCAGCGTTCTCAGTCTGCAGTGCAGACCGTCACGAGATATGACAAGCCGGGATAGTCTTCAGCCCTATTCGAAACAAGTTACTGTTCAAGAAATGCATAAACAATGATCCCATGTCTGTCTTGTAGTGGGACCGTATACAACAATCCCGGTTATACATTTAAGTTCCGTTCCGACAAACCGGGACACCTGACTGGGCCGTCCGTATATATGCTCTGAAGTTCCTGGTCGGCATTAACCGGCAGATATAACCCTGTAAGGAAACGTCACAATCAAGCCCTGATAGTCGGAAGTCAAAGCTTATTGTTTGTACCCCACTACCCCAATATCCAACGGCACTACCTACTCACGTATCCCAAGACTTGTGATAGTAAAGTAGAAATCTTAAACATACGCCATGGTAAGAGACATACTCAATCTCGAGTCATATTATCGTATTTATTCTTCCCGTTTAGGCACATTGCAGGCTTTATTTGTCCAGTACTTCCATGTTTATGTAGCTCCCTTATGTACCTTTTCGCTTACGAGATATCACCACTCCATTGTCATCAGTATATGCCCCCCCAACAAAATTTTTCAAAGCCGGATAAGCTGCAAGTATCCTGGTATTTCGGTGGTCAATGTCAATGAAGCGCCGAGGACGAGTATAGATCTCAGAAAGCTGGTCACCATTCAGCTCATCCACAAGTGTATTTGCCTTGCAACATGACTGCCAGCTTTTATGGCTCGCATATTGGATGAATGTGTCATGACCATCAGATTCTCTTATTGAAATTCGGAATGCTAGTCGAGCTCCAGGATCTTCATCTCTGATATCTTGCGCCCAGGCATTGGGATTTCTCACCCCAGGCGGGGAAAGGTCGGCCTTGATCCAAAATCCATCTTTATAGTTTTTTTTCTAGTCAAATTGAAATAGATACTAATGTGCTAGATATCTATATTATAATTTCCTGAAGCTCGTTTATAATCTTGATACGAGCAGCTTAAGACTACACTTAATGTGATAGGATCTACTTGTCAGAGTAGAAAGCCTGTCGATTAGGTAAGGAATCGGCCACGAAACACTGTAGATTCGTCTTAGGGCGACAAAGGTAGCCTATATCCACATAGTAGACTGATCCTTGCGGGATCGGTAAGTGAAACAAGAGGTTACGACTTATTATAGACATCGAAACGGTTGTCGAACGTTATCGATGACCTCACGACTCGCAGGGTCCAACTTTGCTATGACCCCGAATGGTTCCTGCCTTCCGGACCAGCCCGATCCTGATCTGTTACAGGCATGCAAGCATAAATGATCAGAAGAGGTTTCTGGTAAGTTTTGAGGGGTCACATGTTTCGAAGGCACCGGGTAGCCTCATGAGACAGGAATCACAGGATTGAAAGAATACCGGAATCATATTGAAGCGATTCCTTGTTTGCATCTAATATTCTAGATTGGCTAGCTAAATTGATAGACTACAAATGATTGTGCTATAGTATGTTCAACAGTCCCTGTCTCTGAAACAGTATGGTATATAAGTAGTATTCGAACGAAACTTTACTGAGTAGGCCAAAGCTATATATACTATTACTAGTAGTAATCCACACTCGAGCAAACAGAACAACATTTACTTAAAACTATATTAGCATCACCTATAATGATCTGGAATATCATGAAGATATTCAAATATTCATATGTATCATCAGCTTGACTTATAGAATAAGTTATCAATCTAAGACATAATTATATTCTTATAAAAGTAGGTAAACCACAAGCAGACGGATGATAGATTCTCATGATATAGATATCTTATTCTGGATCATGGCCGGATGTCTACAATCTATCGCCATCAAGAATAACTACGCCCCTGTTGTAGGTTTATAAGGCGACAAATATCAAGTAAATTAGTCAGTGTGGCCGAGTGGTTAAGGCGTCAGACTCGAAATCTGATACGTTCGCGTGCACAGGTTCGAATCCTGTCGCTGACGACTTTTTTGACTATCTTTTTCTAAAAGATGACTTGTGAACTCACTTATAGTTCTTAACATGTAGAATACAGACAGCTGATCTATCAAAAATCGGCATAAAAATTTTTTTGGTGGAAGAAAGCATGCGCTTTTTTACGTATATATGTACTATAATCAGAAATAATCAGTATTAGCTACAAATACTGGAGAATACAAAGTGCACATTTCCAGTAACCCCGAACTAAAAGCAGGAGAAGTATATAGCCTGGTTTCATATGGAATCGTTACTATCGTTACTGGATTCCCAACAGTGAGACCTTTCTTTAAATCACGCTCGTTTACCTTCATTTCTAGTAGTAATACTTTGGGCGAAGTCGTGAACCGCAACAACAGCAGCATGGCTGAACGTTGAACCATGTAATGATGCAAGAGAGGATTCTGCATGTTTATCACGCCTAGTATAATTCCATCTAATTACTTGTCAATCAATCGAATAATCATCTTTCTCATATTGCATACAGCGGAAGCCCTACCGAACATCCTATATTGATAGCTTACGAATAGATGAAATAAACGGGTCAGAGGAGTGAGTCCTTGGATGAAAGGGAATTTTGCGGAATAAAATATATCTTTCTAAACATTTCAGACTTATTCGAAGAGAAACAAAAAGACATGTTATTGGAGAAACTGAATCTCAGTCGTCAGCGACAGGATTCGAACCTGTGCACGCGAACGTATCAGATTTCGAGTCTGACGCCTTAACCACTCGGCCACACTGACTGATTTGCTTAATATTTAGGCCGGGTTTAAGCCCTATACAGCAGGGGCTTGTTTAAGCCCGGCATATATAAATTTGTTCACAAGTCAATTTATGAACTCTGACCTTAACTGTGACGGTCCGGAAACCCTCACATTCACCTAAGCTTATAAGGAATGCGCGTTCTGAGTCTGTTGACTCGAATTCTAGTCTTTTACCGGATAATCTAGTGGTTTTAGATCTGGAAGATTTACTCCTGAAGCGCACCAGGATGGGATTCTGACATTAGTTAACCACTCGGCCACACTGACTAACTCATATCCTTTCGGGCTGTTGGTAAGTTCTATACAATACAGGATTGATTAAGCCCAATATATTAACAACTATAAAAGTTGGTTCACAGCTCATTCTCTGGGAATAACAGTAAAAAAGTCGTCAGCGACAGGATTCGAACCTGTGCACGCGAACGTATCAGATTTCGAGTCTGACGCCTTAACCACTCGGCCACACTGACTAATTTGTATCATTTCGGGCCTTTTTTAAGCCCTATCCAACAGCAATGTCAATGAGTTCGCGTTCAAGATGTTGGATAGTATCCACGTGATTGTACATGTTTTCTCCGTTTACATGGATTTCAGAAATACTGCTATGATCAGCACATGAATTAGTATGCTCTCCCATGTGGAATTCATAAAGTTGTGGGGTCAGATCAGTGAGCGGCCTCGGTGCACGCCCTGGATTACAATATCTCGGTTATACTAACGTCACATAAGTAATAGAAAAACCCTTCGGCTGGGGCACTCTGGGACCAACAATTTTAGATTTGTTCGGCTCATGTGTATCTGGCTTTGTTGGGAGACATATTGAAAGTCGGTACTATGTTGCTGATACATATATAACCTCACCTTGGTCACCTAGCACGATTTATCCTGGATCTGCCACTCATCATTGTCACATCTCTGAACAGTACTACTACCGGCATAATCTATTCATCCATCCATCCATCCATCCGTTCATTCAAAAGCTCTATATCTCCCACGGACCCGTCCTCAGGATACACAAAGTGAGACGTCAAAATGACCACTACCGACCTCCTGCAAGAACCATGGACTCCCGTCCACCCCATAACCATCGCCATCATGACACTAGCCCTCACCATCTACCTACCACTAGTTCAACATCTCCGCTACCAGCGCAAATCAGCAATAGAAGCCCCATTCATTACCAACAAAAGACCTCTATCAAGCATGACCATCGAAGAAGCACATACAATCATAACCCAATTACAAGAGCTGGAATTTCCATATGCATTCGCCAAGGCTCGTCGGATGGCTCTCTTGAAGGTACGCACGACTGCATAGAACAAATCTGCAACCAATAGCTAACTAGATACTAACCAGGCCGGAGGCATCCCCACCATGTCGAAGCTATTCGCCGTCACAGGCCAGAACAACAGACGAAACGCCGGTAAGCGAGCCGTTGACACGGAGATTCTCCTCCGGGAGTCGCAGTCGCAGCGGAGAGATTCAGATCGCTATGCGACTGCTGTGGCGAGGATGAATTATCTGTATGTGCAATATATCTTCATTAAGGTTAATGAGTTTCTGTTCTAGAATATACAAACTGATCACTACTTAGCCACGCCCGCTACCGTCGCGCCAACAAAATCACCGACGACGATCTCCTCCACACGCTAGGCGATGGACTTGCTGAGATTCTGAACGTGATTGAGCGGGAAGAATGGCGTGGTCTCACAGACGTGGAGATATGTGCCCTCGGTATATTTCACAAGAATCTGGGAGAGGATATGGGGATTCCGTATGATGTACTTCCATCTAAGGCGGAGGGGTGGGAAGACGGGGTGCAATTTGCAATGGAGTTGACTCGCTGGACGGAACAGTATGAGGAGAGAGTTGCGAGGTTCACGGCAACGAATGATCAGTATGTTCGTGTCTATGTGGATTCCGCACTTCCGGGGCTTCTTAGGCCGGTGGTGAGGCGGGTGTTGGGTGCTGGCTTGGATGAGGTTATGAGGTTAAGTCTGGGGTGGGTTTCTCATACTCTATAATGCTGTCATACTGATTTATACACTGTTCACCCTGGCTAACAGCTATTATTAGTCTCGAATCCCCGGGATACATCTTATCATTCGTGATCAACTTCGTGCAAGCCTCACGAAAACTATTCCTTCAATACCTGGCCCTTCCGCGCCCTTCTTTCCATGCCGTCAAACTAGTGCACGATCTGCCGAACCAGAAGACGAATTTATATAACTTTGAAAGAAAGGTCTTGCAGCCATGGTATATTCGTCCAACTGTGTGGTCGAAATATGGCCCTGGGGCATTGCTGATTAGATTGTTCGGAGGCAAGGTGCCTGGCTCACGTGGAGATCGGTATCAGCCACAAGGATACGATTTGATGACTATTGGGCCGGAGCCACAGAAGGGAAGAGGGTTGGAGGAGATGAGAGGTGATATTGAGTTGATTAAGGCGAGGGGGATGGCGACGTGTCCGTTTTCGAAGGCGAAATGGGATCATCATGATGCAAATTGACGGGACAGTATACATGTCGACTAGATGGAGACACTATAGGGGGATTGAGCATGCTTTGGAACGCATTAAGATTAGGAGGTAGGACTTTCATGTTTAGATGTGCTTTAGGACTTCTTACGTTGATGTTTTGGTGATTGATAGGTTCTGGTTGCGCCTGGCTTGTAGATGTTGACTCTTCGGCATATCTTGATGTCGATGTTTGATGTCTGTGCGAGTAGTAGCTTCTGTATGTTCTCCGAGTTTCATACCATCCTCTTCTCCGCTCTAGAGTGAAGCTATATGAATAAACCTTTCTTTAAATCTTGTTGTATAGACCTTTGATGGTATTATTGAGTTGCTGTCCCTGCAATGTTGGCTATTAGCCTGGCTTGAAAGTCCGAACATAGTACCCATTCCCCACCGAGATATTATAATCAACTCAAGCCAAGCTCCGAGGCAAGTGACTAGCTTAAAGCTACCTGTCTCCATATATATGATCCACTCTCCGCATCGAAGCCTGCAACGCACGTTTAACATCCACCTCCCTAAACCCCGGCGCACGACCAAGAATAACAAGCCCAGGAAGGAGTCCTACATCACTCATCAGCATACAACCTAAATCCCAACCTGAAACATCAAATAACTTACTTAGAAAGAACCCCTCGACATCCAAAACCCACGACCCCCCAGCATCCCCAGTCCTACTGCACCTCCGAAACATCCCCCCATTAATGACATCAACCCCTACCGATTCCAGAAATCCCTCCACATCACGACAATCAAACCACGTCCCTCCAAGGCCATATACCTCCAGCACATCACCCCTACTCTTACTAGTGTCCATCACCCCCAACACCCTCCCCGGCATTCTCCTATTCCGTGGTACATCCCCATCAACCCCCTGAAAATGCGTGCCCGCTCCTCCAACGCCGTAGAAGGGTAATCCTGGTACCTCTAACGGATCGGTACACCCGCCCATCAAGAGCTGCTTGAAGCGCGGCTGAGTCTTCTGCGGGTCTTGGATGCAAGGTACGAGACGGAATACGCGGTAGATGATGGATGGGTTGGAGCGCGGGTCTGTGAAGAGGCGGTAGGCGTACTCGAGGGTGTAGCGGTGGAGTTGGCGTGCGAAGCGGGACTCGCAGAAGGCGTAGGAGTGTTGTTTTGTTGGGAGGGGTGTGAGTGACTGATTGTGGAAGATGGAGTGGTTGTTATTGGGGGATGTGGATACTTGGTGATAATGTATGGATGGAGATGACTCTGATGCTGGAGATGAGGACGAGGATGAGGATAAGGGTATAAGATTGTCCGTATTCGCCTCATTGGGCGTGCTACTGTCACAATCGGCTATAAGAATGTCATGGAGTCGTTTTAAGCGAGTATGGATTGTAGGATGTGACAGATGTAGTTGGTGCTTCTCAGTGGCGACATCGGACAGTAGCCCTGCTACCTCTTCCCTGACAATGCGGAATCTTGCTTCGAGTTGTTCAGCCCTGTCGATCGCATTTCGAAACACGGCTTCCTTTTTGAGTCTGTATGTGCGTTGAGCACGACGGACTTGGGTGCGACGATTGGGGGAGAGGATGGCGGTGTTGTTGGTGGCGGGTGTGATGGTGTCTAGACGGGGCCGTCCTACTCGTTTGCTTGATCGGCGAGGTGTCATCTTCCACGAAGTTTTCCTTGGGTGAGCATATAGGAGGTTCGTCTTGTAAGATTGAGGTGGTTTATTCGCTAATATGTCTACTGTGTTGCATAAATTGATTGTGGCATTAGATTAATAAAATTCTGTGCTGAGCATGTAGTGAGTGAAGTTTGGTTCTGATATTGTAATCTCGGAAATGGAGCCTCGGCATAAATCCAATCACCCAACATTTATCTCATCTAAGTACTCCACAAACAGTTCCCAACATTATCCCAACTTGTAATGCACCAATATCCTACATATTATCTGGTTGAATCATCAGATCCGGATCTGATATCTCGGCATGCACAACCAAATCCCACCGCTACAATGTCTACATTCTTATTGCTCTCTTATCCCTCGTTGGAACCTCAGCAATGTAGTTTGCAGGTCTGAGCAGGCTCAGTCAGCTACCTGACATCATTCAAACCGTGCCAGATCCGCGTGAAAGAGCTTCAATGATGCAGAAACCAAGGAGTCCAAGTCAGTGGCACCAGACTTCACCCTGGCGTCCTCGATGCTTTGCCGACTGGCAACCAATTTCTGCGCAACTTGGCCCCATTCCACCGTTTGCTTCGGTATATGGACCTCCGGAAACGACGGGCCTATTTCCACAGGTGTCAATCTACCGTGCTTCTTGCGCACCTGTCCATCGACAATGACGGTTTCAACGTCACGTATTGAAGAGTGGAAGACGATAGCTGCGACTGGGTCCTGCTCACTCGCGCATATCATCCCCGGGCTGGTTCCATCGAAAATGACTAGATCGGCTAGCTTTCCCACTTTGATAGAGCCCAACTTGTCCTCCATATGTAAAGTACGGGCGCCCTGAATGGTTGCCAGGCGGAAGACATCCTGTACTGAAAGATCCAACGAGCGGGGTGTCTTTCCACTGGCAATGACCTCTTCGTTCCGACGAGCCCGTTCGGCTTGCAACCCTAGACGCATAGCTGTCACGATGTCGCTAGAGGTGCTGCTATGACAGTCGATCCCCAGGGAACTTATCTTACTACATCCATCCTGAAAGCAGACTGGGTATCCATGTGCCATCTGCAGTTCCGAGCCTGGGGTAGATGAGATCCATGACTTTGCCTTGGACAGCTTCTCGACGTCGCTTGATGTGAGATGTGTTGCGTGGGAAAGGATGATATCCGGTCCGAGCAGACCATAGCTATCAAGGAGATCAACAAGTGAATCGTCACCTGTTTTGGTTAGTCCTGTACATATTCAGTGTGTGGTAACATACTGAAGTGACCCCGGACGTAGTGCGTAGTTATAACCTTCGTGCCCGCCTTGCGGGCTCTGTCGTAAAGCGATACCACAACATCTTTGGGAAGCATGAGCCCATCGAAGCCCAACCCTATTTCGACTCTGCCGTCTCCGTATGGAGCTGCTGTAGCGAGATCACTCAGCTGCTTTAGCACCCAGTCATCTAGGAAATTTCCGCCAGGTACTATCTCCGGCTTCCATGACTTGACGGTGTGAGTGGGAGTGTAGCAGAAAATTGATCTAATTCCGGATGAGATCGTGGCTTGGAGGCCATGCAAGGCTACACTCGGTGAGCATCAAGCTAGAATAATTTGAGTCCATCAACTTACAATGAGCGGCTGTAACATTCATATGAGCATGATCTACCACAGTTGTGGTGCCGGCATCCAAGGCCTCCAGACAGCCTGCTAGCTGACCCCAGAAGATATCCTCGGGCGAATAGTTGATTTGTTGAAGGTTTCCTACATACTTAAGCAACTAATAGTGCTAGGTTAAGAAGAAAACAACTGACCAGTTGGCATATACTCTATCAAAGTATGGTCGGCATGACGCCCCTTCAGCTGCGTCTGCCACAGATGATGGTGCGTATCAATAAACCCAGGCGACACAATCTTGCCTGTACAGTCAATCACCTGAGTTTCAGCCGATGGAGGCGCAATATGCGACGAGATCTGCGCTATCTTGTTCCCCTCAATCAATAGAGAGTGCTTGCGGAGTGGTACGACATCATCCCCGGACGGGACGAGAATGGTCGCATTCTGGAGCAAGATCGTAGAAGGCATTTTGTAACAGCTGATTGAAGGTTCTATCCCACTTAATCTGCGTGGGGCGGGGGTTTTATACATAGGTGCCTATGGTCCCGATGTGGGGAAGCTAGGGAGCTCAATTTCCGTGTTCGGATAGGTGGTGTGACTAAAATCCCACGTCACTCCTTCGATGTATTCTGCAGTTCCAGAACAGCCTAATTTGTAAATCTGAAGCTTCGGACACCGAAAACGCGAAATCCGACCGTTGAGTCTTAAATCCGACAATAGGACCATACCAGATTTGGCACTGAACCCTGCGTTCACCAATTGTAAGATCATGATCATACGCAAAGACCAACAAGAATATGCTTGAGTGGTCTAGCTATGCTATCATTTGGCCTTATGTTAATAGACCGTTACAATTGGACGTAGGAATTTGCAGACTTGGCTAACCTTCGAAATCTAATGTGTAAATAAGGGGATCGTAAATAGCCTGCCAAGTTGGGCAAATTGATGGATCTGAATGGTGCTGTTCGTTATAGACCGCACATTCTCAGATTCTGGATAGCTTTTGCATGAGACTCACAATGCTTCCATGCAGTATCTAGTCACTGACTGATTTCCGTGACCACTCAGCAAGGGTACATGCCCGTTATATCAGTTGTATATGTGCCAATCATCCCTTGCGCAATGACTCCTAGCTGAGCACCGTCATCTGGCCTCACTTATAACCGCAAATACACTTCAAAAATGGATTGGATCTCTCAAAATCGATTATGTTGCGGGCTTGGGTTTCCAGTCCTGATATCAGGTCTCTGGGTAGAAGAAGCAGATCATGTTCGCAGGTTTAATCGAATGTATTTCCGCCCATTGGAGTAGAATATGTAGACGTCGTAAGGTAAGCGAGGGATACAAGCACGGGCTAGATGAAGATGATATTATTAAGACCATACTAAGCAAAATATTGATCACCAATGTCCTTGGGAACTATCTGGGGATGGGTCCGATTAATCAGCCTACCATTATCCCAGGGAGCTCATGCAATAGAACCTAAAGGCCTCTGTCGTTCTCATACTTCACATTGTCTGCGGGGTGATATAGAGTATTGAGAAAAGCACATGTCAACTGACAAAAAGCCCAGAAGAACAAGAGAAAGCAAGTTGTCAGTTGTTGATTGTATGAAGACTACAGTAAAGTCAAGAGTGAAACTTTAGACAACTTGTTGAAACACATGACAGTGAGCGGTTACCCCGCCTTCCATATTGGGTGTACTCTAACCTGTCAGTAAACATGCATTACAAACTAGATACTGTAAAGAGCTAATTCAGTTGCACCAGTTAAGGGCTTCAAGCCTGGTAATATGTTGTGGAAACATGTACACACAAACTATCATTTGTATCTATTCCTCCTATATCTTCTACCTCGGCACATGAAAATCCAGCCTTATAATGACCCCCATTATAGCACCAACACCATCAGAACAACCATCACAAGATCAGACCACCACCATCTATTCCCACCACTCATACAAAACGCTCAATTCTAAACTCACCAACAAGTCTATACATCTGAGCCTACCGTACAACAAAATCTCCCACTAATCATATATACACCCAGAATCTAACTCTATCTATCAGTCTAGTCTACCATCACCCCACCCTAACAACAACACCAACACCACAACCCCACCTTCACTATACACGCCCCTCACTGACTAACTAATCTCCTACTGATTCCCCGCCTCCCTCTCCGCCACCATCTCCTCAATATGCGGATTTAACCAATACTCGCCTAATACCTCCGTACTCAAATTCTTCGCACCGTCAATCTGTCCCTTACATTTCTCCCCACTGCCACACGTACACTCAAACGGCTGATCCATCTCCCACTCCGTCGACGGGTAAAAGAACGTCAACGGCTCCCCCGCCTTTAAGTCGCGATTATCCACGACCCGCACCTCCATCTTGTGCATGTCGAAGTTGACCGTCGGATCGCACGAGTGGTTGCAGTACACGAGGTCTGAGTTCAGCTCGATGTGGCTGTCTCGTCCAATTTGCACGGATGTGTAGGCTTTCTTGGACGGGGTGGTTCCGGTGATTTTGCATAGGACGGAGCCGGCGGGTGCGGAGACGAGACTGTATGCGCCGCTGGCGAAAGGGATCGGGCTGCGGTTGACTTGGATTAGGGTGGGGTGGGAGGGGGTGGGTTCTTGTGTTGTTGCTGTGGTGGTGGTGGTTGTGGTTGTCATTGTGGTTGACATGTTGGAGGAGAGGTAGATGGAGGAATAGAAGAGACTGTAGTAGTAATGTAGGTTGTATTGTAGGTAGATAGGCAGGTAGGTAGGAAAGAAGTGAGAGCGTCCCTGGGACTAAGGACGGGCAAATCCTCCCCTACTTAAGTATCGGCGTAAAGGATCTCAAGCATATTGCACCGGCCGAGGATGTCTGCGGACGAGTGGATCTGGCAGCAGATGGTGACGCAGGACTATTGGCAGAGTCATGGAGCTTACAGTGGGAGGGCGGGAATGATCACGGAACAGGCACCTTGTTTATGGTTATCTGGTGGATCAGCCGAGGTTCATCACGTAATAGTACTTGGTGGCCTGCATTAGAGTGCAGTCCTATTCTTGATGCGTGCATGAGTTTCCTAGTCTAATTTTTGGGCTCAATAAAGTAGATAGGTAGTTAGCAGTTTCAGTTATCGACATCATTCCACGCCATTCCACACATCCCCGCTCCTATTGAAAATCCAACAAAGACGACCAGAATCAGCCAAACTCAATTCAACCGCACCGTAAACTCCTGTCCATTCAACCACCGTTCCAGGTTCTGCGCCACCTCTTCATACCATCCATGGATCTGTTCATCCACATATCCCATATGCGGCGTCAAGAGCACCTCACTCCGCCCGTCCTTCCCCCACGCCGTCGTTCTCCACGGACTATCCCCCGGCAACGGCTCGGTCTCAAACACATCCAACGCCGCCGCGGCAATCCCACCCCGGTTTAACGTCTCGAGCAACGCCGTCTCCTCCACCAACGGGCCGCGTGACGTGTTCACAAGGAGGGCCGACTTCTTCATGGCTCCGAGCTCCTCCCGCCCCACGATCCCCCGACTCCGCTCCGACAACACATTATGCAAACTCACCACATCCGCCTGCCGGAAGAATTCCAACTTCTGAGGAATAGCCTCAAAGCTACCTGCAGGTAATCCCATCGCCTCTGCCTGCTCATCTGCCTTTTCCTGCGTCAGGTTCGTCGACCAGGCAATCACCTTCATCCCGAATGCCTGGACTGCTACCCGCCCCACCTGCGCCCCGAGCTTCCCGACACCGAGCAACCCGAGCGTTCTGCCCGCCAGCGACAGACCAAGTGATCCCTGCCATTCGCCGCGTTTTATGGCTGCATCGTCACGTGCAATATGTCGCGCTGCTCCGAGGATCAGTGCCCACGTGTGTTGCACTGTGGAGTGGACACCGGTGAGGCGGTACTTTGTGCCTGCGACGGGGATGCCCCGCTCCGCGCAGTAGGCAGCGTCTAGGGCGAGGTTGCGCGTGCCGGTGGTGAGGAGGAGCTTAAGGTTAGGTAGCGCGGATAGTGTCTCCTTGGAAAAGGGGGTGCGTTCGCGCTGGGTGACAATGATCTCGAATGGGTACAGGCGCTGGATGAGTTGCTTGTGTTGGGCGGGGTCGCGCGGGTTGAGTGTGTCGGGGAAGTAGCTGATGTCAACGCGGGAGGTCAGGTGGGCAAAGTGCCGGGGAGAGATGTTTTGGTAGTCATCGAGGATGGCTACTTTGGGAGGCATCTTGATGTTGGTTCGAAGTAGATTGAATACGAGTGTAGTTGGTGGATAGGAAGTATCTATGGTGATTAATAATTGGAAGGAAAAGCCAGCTTATAACCCGGGATGAGGGTATATCCGGAGCCCCGCGATGAGCTCAGATGCTCCCCGCACCGGTCATCGGAGGGGCAACTTGGGCGGATAAAGGGTCCCGAATGCAGGGACAGCGACTCTAATATTGAATATATACTCGATACGAACAGGGATAAATCCATCAAGAGCAATCATAACCCCAAGTAAGTGATAACATATATACCTTTTTGTCCCTCTGTATATTTACTTGGATACCTCATCACCCATCCTACACAGACGGGGAGCACGGAGCTATTACTCCATACTAGCAGGTTACATCCACCCGGCAGATCAACTAGCTACTAGCTACTTAGTACTTAGACAGCTATCCAGATATCCATACAGCGTAGCATACCACCACCACCACCATCACCCTACATCCCTTCACCCTCCTCCTCCCACTCCGCCGCTCTCTCCAACATCCCCACGCTTGCCCTCAACAGTACTCTCTCACCATCCCGATCCCCCACCTCCCATCTATGCTCAAAATCCACTCTATAAAACCACAACGCCTCTTCAACCGCCCACCCCTCACGAAACATAACTTCCGGTTCGCCGCGACAACACGCCCCCGCACCATCCCTGAGCTTATTCTCCTCCGACAAGACGACGCTCCCGTCCTGGATACCGGCATCCAGCATCTCTCTGCTTTTTTCGTAGACGGATTCGAGAAGCGCGCCGACGTCGGCGTGCAGGATGCGCGTGGGTAGGTCGGCGTTGTTGTGCACGCAGTCGCGGCCGGTCGTTATGTAGATGGTGCCGAGGTGGTCGAGGGGTGCCGGGCCGGTGAAGGATGGGTGGCTGATGAGGCGCGTGCCGGTGGGGGTTATTTGGGGGGTGAGGGATTGGGATAGCAGGTTCAGGGAGGTGATGCGTTGGTGGAGAGGGAGGAAGGGGAGGTGAGTGAGGTAGGTGGTTAGGTGGGGGGTTTGATGGAGATGATGATGATGATGATGATGATGAGTGAAGTTGGGGTTCATTTTGGGGGGTTTGATGATGTCTGAGATGGTGATGGTGATGATGATGATGGTGATGATGATGATGGTGGTGGTGGTGATGGGGCTTTGGAGAATGAGATTGCGATTTTGATAGATCATACTTGTGTTGACTTTTTATACTACTTGATGGGGGCGTGACTTTTGTGGCTTCATGGTCTGTGTTACTGCCATGATGGTCTGATTAAGCGGTACTTTCCATTGCAAGCTAGGTGTGAGTTTGTACATCATGTATAGTTATGGGTGCTATATAAGGAGTATATTCGTGCATAGAAAATCATTTGCGTCGGATCGTCTTGGTTATCTTCGTCTGAGCCTTTTGAACAAAGATCCCATCATCCCTACCCCGGAATTTGGTTCACTCTTCCTTTTCGTCGCTGGTTCACTGTCGGGATTGTCACGGCCATCTTCCATGTTACCGTCATATTGTCCTCGTCCATCACCACCATCATCACCACCATCATCACCACCATCATCACCACCATCATCACCACCATCATCACCACCATCATCACTACCATCACCTGCAATATTATCACCTTCACTATCCTCGTCCCCATCATAGCTTTCAATACTGTCTTCATTATTGCTGTCATCGTCGTCGTCGTCGTCGTCGTCGCCGCCGTCGTCGCCGCCGTAGTCGCCGTTTGCCTGACGAATGAGCATTTGCCGATAGCGATGTGCCTCTTCCCTGAGATTTCTCAATGCACTAATCCCATCCTTATATCTTTCGACGAGCTGACCTTCATCGAGACTATCATCATCAAACCTGAAAGCCTTGATCGCCGTCATCTGGAAGTCCATCTCTCTCTGTTCTCTTTCAGGCGGCGAAATCGGATGAATAGCATAAATAGTCATATGGGTGGTTGCAAGCACAGCAACAAATGTATGCGCCCGCCTATCAAATGGAATGTTGCCTTTGGTATACTGCTCCAGCTCACGTAGTGCCCGAGCCCCAAGGGCACCACTATGCAAGGCAGCACGTGCCCCAGCAAATTGATCGTTATGCTTGAGCAAGTTGTAGAGGAAAAAGTTCGGCAAGATCATCTTGTTGGGGTCTTCTTCGTCTTCTTGCACGTCATCCAAAAGGTGATAGGGGGTGATGTATCTCTCAAGGATTGTGTGTATGGTTGGTTGTTTTTCTCTCTTCTTCCCCTTTTCATTCGCCTTGTCCTTTCCCTGCCCAATTCCTCTTTTTCCTTTTCGCTCAGGTTCCTCGTCCTTCTCATCATTTTCCTCGGCTTCATTCACTTGTCCCATGAGGTCCTTCGGATCGGCTCCGTCGACAAGATCAGGCCTGGCTGAGATCATATGTGGCACTATGGGATCGAGGTTGTAGAAGTACTTTTTCGTTGCTGTTATCGTTCCCTCTAAAGCCTTACCCCTATGGTTCTCGGTTTCTGTACTTTCGTACCCGAAGAGGTTCAAGTAGATACCTCGCAACGCGTTAGTTCTGGTCTTGTATTGCGTGATCAATCTGGTAAGATTAAGCCGCGCTCCCTGACCCATATTATCCATATCGGACCGATCTTGTCTCATAATTTGTCGAAGATACTCAATATTGGACGGCTCGCGATCCCTACCAAGCCGTTTCTCCACACCGTTGTGTTCCAGATAGCCTTCTAAATTCTTGTCATAAATAGCGGGCATACTGAGTTTGGGGACGTCAAAACTGCGGTCTCGATAGATTCTATGTCGATACTAGAAGAAAAGATTAGCTTGTGATGAATCTGATTAACAATGAAAGATAAGGAACCTACATCACAGAGGTGCGTCAGATCAGGCCCGCCTCTTTTCGCAAAGTCCTCGACAGTCTTGCAGCTAGTCTCCAGTGCTGGTGTCTCGTCACGACCGTTTCCCCACCTAATCGTTCCTTCGCGGTGGCGGAACTCCATAAGTGCGGTGTAAGTTAAATGGATCTTTGGCTGCTCATCCCAATAATCCTGGCTAAAAAGCTTTCTTCGCCTTCGAGCGGCAGCTGTCTTCTTCATTTTCGCCATGCCTCCTTTCAAGGGTAATGCTTTCGGATGACGAGCTGGTTTGAATACTTGTGGTTGAGGGTTGGTGTGCTGGGACTTTGGCTCGCGTTTGACACGCTTTGCGCTGGCCTTTTGACGGGGTTGGTTGTCTTTTGGCGGATTGTGTGCCATGGTGGTACAGTACAGTTGATTTTTCTGTTTGTAGGATGTGTTGGATTCGATGATAACACGATGTTGGGGGTTCCGAGTCCCACTTTACTTCTACATATAAGTGCGTTGGTTGCACAGTGCATTGTAAACGTCGGGCTCATTGTTTGCCGGCGTTGGCTCTTTGTTTCGGCGGCGTGTGTTGCAGAAGACATTGTGGCTACTGTCCATGTCAGGTGTTAGAGACTTCGTCCGTTTCAGTTTCAAAGTGGAAGACGTTATAGAAATTCTGCATCTTTTATTGTAGACTGATCAATAGAAAGGCCTTGCCTTGTTGTTATACCGTGATACCTAGTAAATATAGTATCGCGTATTCACTCTGAAGGCAGGTGCATTGTTGAGAGGGGTGGGCCCTTTACATATTATGCACATTATACATCTCTATTCTTGCAACATCGAATAATGACTTTCATTGTCTGCCTTACAGGCCCCATTGTGCCCTTCAAACACCACCAGCCAAGTCTCTTAGCTTTGAACCCATTCAAACACATCCATCAGACAAACATTCAATAACTCTCTGTGTTCTTTATTCTTTATTGCCACTGTTACAATGAATTACTATAAGCACATAGTCTACTATAAGCAGCTACACCTTCTCCATCTTCCTCGTCCCTCTTGCGTACAAGTCCATTATAGCACCATTCGATAGAGTAAATCCTAAACGGCAAGAAAAATGAAACAACTCGTGAGTGGACTCACCTTTCACAAGAGGCAGTAGCTGATCAAGGACAGGATATCATCGTCGCAAACCGTTTCCAAATCGTCAATTTCATCTCTTCGGGAGCCTATGGCGACATCTATGAAGGTAAGCCCCACCTTCTCCCTTCCCCAAATACACGTACTCACCATTCCAGCAACCGACCTTGAGAGCAAAACCAAAGAGCGCGTTGCGCTAAAAATGGAACGTACAAAGTTCCCTGACTCCCTCACCAGGGAGTCAGTATTCTACGCGAAGCTCCAAAAGGGCAAAACCACCGGCATGCTTAAACTCCACTTCCCTACCGACATCTGTGATGACTACCGCGTCATGGGTATCGACCTTCTAGGTCCCAGTCTCTGGGACCTTAAGCATTTCTGTGGGGGCAAATTCAGCCTCAAGACAGTTCTCTTGATAGTGGAACAAGCGCTATTCCGATTAAAGTCTCTACATGACCAGGGTATTATCCATCGGGATCTAAAGCCGGACAATTTCCTCATGGGAAGAGGCCGTCAAGGAAATATCATTTACCTTGTGGATATGGGCCTTGCGCAGGAGAGAGTGGAGGCGCCTGGCAATCCGATGGATTATGAGGGACATCAGGCGCTTTCGTTCGTGGGTACGAACGATTATGCACCTAGGGCTGCGCATCGGTTACACTGTGTGTTTCCCCCCAACACCATTTGATGATGAAATCGTGGTTACAGGCTACTAACATTGGTGTAGATCAGACGTATCGTGATGATATGGAGAGCTTTGGGTACGTGCTCATCGACCTTCTCAAAGATGTGTTACCCTGGGGTCATATGACTACAAGTGTTGGGGGGGTAACGCCCCAAGATCGGATGGGAAGAATGAAAGAACAGATCAGTCTTGACAATCTATGCAAAGATCTCCCAGAGGTGTTCAAACATTACTTTGAACACGTGAGATCGCTGCGGTATAACCAACGGCCGGACTACACTAAGCTCCGGCAGATGTTCCTAAGCGAATTTAAACGACAGGGATTCCACCACGATTTTGTCTTTGACTGGACGCAAAGGCGCTTTGATCAAGCAGCTGAGGAATCGTATGTGTCATTTTCGTCAGAGTAGTGACTCTAACTAACAGTGAAACATCTATTCTTTAGGACGACCAGTGAAGATTGAACGACAACATATAGCACCACTACTCAAATCGAACATGAATCCAACAATTACTCCAACTTGAGCAATTTCTCCTTCGCAAACTCCTCAAATCCCCTACTCCCCTCTACCAACCCCAGCGTCTCTCTAACCTTCCCCTCCTCATCTCCCCCATAATACCCAACCTCCCCATAAAAACTCAACATATCCACCACCTGCCTCCCCATCTGTCCCGGCATGAAACCCGCATACACCTCCTCTTCCATCCTCAAATACCTCACCCTCTTCCCCGTCACCCTCCCTATAACCTCCACCACCTCCTCAAACGACCAAACCCCATTAGCAGCATAAACCCTTTCAGTATCCCCCATCAGAATCGGAACCACAAACTTTCCCAGATCCCTCACCGTATCAATCAAAGGTATCTTCTTCTCCCCATCAATGACATTATACAAAACCAAGTCCCCCTGTCCCTCGGGATCAGGAACAGGCCTCATGAATGTCTCGAAATTCTGCATGAACATCCCGGGATAGAACACTGACACTACTACGTCATGGGATAAAGTTAGTGTACGCAATGCCTCCTCAGCCGCGACCTTCGAGTCGAAGACATCCACTTTCCGCCCGTGCGGATGGGCGGGCACAGCGCTGCTGAAGATGATGTGTTTGATGGTATTGGTAGTGGCGAGACATGCGGAAATGATGTTCTGGACTTGGGTGAGTTCTTGGTGTTTGAGGTCCGGGGCTGAGTAGTCCGTTTGGGTTATGAGGATTAGGGTGTGCGTGTTGGTTAGGGCTGGGATGAGGGTGCGAGGGTCGTTGAGGTCCGCGGGGAGGACTTTGATGCCTTGCGCGGTGAGGGATTGAGCTGTGGAAGAGGATGGATTGCGGACTAGGGCGCGGAGGGTGTATAAGCTATGGAGGGTTGGGTGGTGCGTTATGGCGGAGATGATGGAGAGGCCTTGTTGGCTGGTGGCAGGGAGGATGGTGAGGAGTTTGGGGGACATTGTGTGGTTGGTTTGGTTGTAGATGATTGGTGATTTGTGACATGTGCGTGTGGAATGAGTGGTACATTAATTGATTATTGCATTGAGGTTGTGGTGACGAAGCTGCTGTTTATGTATTCATGATGTAGTCGGATTTTGTATATACGTCCGGTCGGAGATTGTATGGACGCCGGGGATATAGTTGTTAGGGACGGATATAGACTGCATGAGGGCCGGTCGGTGTCCGGGCTCTTAGGACCGGCGTGGCCTGAGGGTGTTGTGGACTTTGTTGCTTAGTTTCGAAACTTGTTCCCTGGTTAGGATATAGTAGTGTGTTGCGATAATGTAGTCGTTTGAGTAAGATTCCATAATTGTTATTATCCTAAGGTCCTGCTGAATCCTCAGAGCTATCGAAAATATATCTATCTCTTGCATGCGCACTGATAAGGTTTAATTACATCCGGGAATAACCTGTGCACGTGGCTGACGACTCAGCCTACCACTCTCTCCTTGCAAATGACATTTCAGACCCTGTGATACAAGAAGCTATGACAGTGGCTCCATGAGATCAACCTCGATCTGTCCACCAAGGTCCTTGAGTTACATGCGCCTCGAGACTCATGGGCTTTGACACCCAGTAGCCAGATCCCGGCTCCACTTTCCGCCCGGAAGCTGCAATCTAAGGTTAATAGCATTAAGGCACTTTAAATAGACCACAATCTTCATAGATCTGGGACACTCACCCCAATACAGTTGTGACGTTACTTTAAGACCCGACCATGAAGCAGTTGAACTAAATAGCAAATATGTAGAGCCATTTAGTGTCTAAAGATAACGTTCACTATCATTAAACAAGGAAAATGAACCTCTCGTAAGCTACCCATCCCAGCATTTTAAGGCCTCACAGAGGCGCCATCCCTTCGAACTGCTCAGCCCCATCAGCAGGATCAAGCCAACATACCCGTCTTCCGGTGTATACTTCATGTCCTGGCTTATACTTATTCACTGTCTCATCATCGAAGATACCAGCACGCACGATCTTGAGTTCACCCGCACTTCCATCGGCGTTTACTTTGTGTCCGTAAAGGGGCGTACCTACAAACATCGAGTTTAATATTACCACAATTCAAGAGCTGAGAAATATTACTCCAACATACCACAGTCCCCACAGAAGTGGTTCATGATCCGACCTCCGCTGTCGCATGTCTTCGGTAGCTCTTTGGGTCTCCCTGATATTTTGAAGCTATCACTTTTGAACACAAAATTGTAGGAATACAGAGTGCCGGTGATTTTGCGACAGTCGTGGCAGTGACATATGGCCTAGGTATGAAAAAGAAGAAGACAATTAGCAGTGTTGAATTGTGAAAATGCAAGAGGATAAACACTAACGACTATCATAGGCTCGCCGCTAAACTCAACTTGGATGTTTCCGCAGAAGCAGCTGCCTGTCGTCATTTTCAGAGTATGGATTGTTGGATATTGACAGGAGATAGAGGAGACTTAGGGACTAAATGAAGCTGCTGAATCCTAGAGTATGAGATGGCTATTTATTCAAGATGCAAGAGCTAAGCTAAGGACGGATTACAAATTTCGAATGTTCCCAACGTAAGCCGGTTGAGGCCGAGGTTGTTATCGAGGCTCTCAACAGCTTCCCGTTGAGTCATCGAGGCGACGTCTCAGCTATCTATTAGCTAGTAGACTGATTGCAATATAAGCCTCGGGTCTTATGAATGACGAAGTGAGTCATAGCTCTGCCAATTAAGAGCTTTTTCTCCGCAAGGGAGCAATCAATGTATTGACTTGCATCATAACCAGAGTAGTCTGCATTAACATATTCTATCCCGCTTATAGTCTTCATACAACCTCTTGTGCTTCCGTCAAAAGCTATTGAATTGAGTCTACGCATCTTTTGGCAAATGTTGCGAATGGTAAGCCAACGTATCGAGCCTATGAGCCGGTCCAGTTTCTGGCTGTTCATGACTAGATTCACTGCAACTATGCGTCTGTAAGAGACGATGCTGTACCGGCAATCACATGTGGACTGTGTTTATTACCTCCCAGTCCAATGCATTGAGTATTTACTGGTCACATCTATTCTCCCCTACTTCCTACTTTGGCTTAAACTCATACTCTTTCCTCCCCTTTCTGCTTCAGGACCAGTAAAGTATCTCACTGTGCGCTCTATGCTCCTGGATACTAACTGGGTTCTTGGCGTTGACTTAGAAGCTTCCAGGCGCCCCCCTATCCCAGTATGAAAATTCGTAACCCACAATCAAATTCACTTATTTGAAATTAATATTATGGTTCTGCGAAGATACTACCGTATCGCTTTGCAGAAGCAATGTACTATGCTACTACCAGCGAAGCTGCTACCCTATGCTTACTCTATTCATTCATAAGGCATTCCCGTGCCTCGGCTATATGGGTATTCACCTTCAGAGATACCCTATTGGTGTGAAGTAAATCCTAATGGAGAAGGAATTAGGGTTGCTTATAGACCACATGCCATAGCATGTGCAAGTGTTATCGCCATAATGCTCCATCTTGATTTAATAAAAATGAGCGAAAATTCTTCAGTATGCCTTTAGGCGACGGAATTAGGAGAAGCGAATAAGAAGACGGCTTTCAAATCGCTTGTTCAATTTGAGAACCATGACTGAACACGCAGACAAAAAAACAATGTCTCTCTTACTTAACATTGACGAGTAAATTGGAGTGGAGCTTAACATGGTAGGCGACAACAGCTCTCATACAGCCCTAATTTCTTGTTCCTGGTCGCCGTGGCTGAGCTGATGTAGTATGCTGAAACCCTTAGCCCTCCGTGATAGAATATATGACAGAATCTTCTCAATGGCAAGGCGGCAATTCGTGCACCATTCCGTATTCCATAGTAGACTCGGTCCACCAAACAAGTTCCAGCTGTGCTTGTTATTTTGTGATATCTGAGCTATGACGTCATCGTTATTTTGTTGTCTAGCATGGCACGATGCATTGCGCCCCAAAACGTTGAGAGTCCGCCGCGGGTCGCTTGTGGCTTTATCTGCCTTGATATAGTTTTCCATATTGAGTTGGGCTTCCTTGTGTTATTATGCAAATGCAGAGGCGGTTTCCGTTTTTATCATTGTTGCAGACCTAGATATATTTAGCTTCTTGCAGGGTGGTCCTCATAGTATTTCAGGCAAGATACCGGACTTGGTATAGCTGTGATAGTATATAGAGGGTAGATTCATCGCAAAAGTATGATAGCAGGATATCATGTTGCAGGTGAAATTCAGTCTTATATATTGTTGGTATAATTAAAGTTGTTTCCCGTTAATTTCTGCCTGGAACAGATAATCTAATATATGTGTATTTTTTTTTTTTTTTTTTTTTTTTTGGTATTGTATGTAGTAGTTAAGTTGTGACGGCATTTAGGGCTTTACTATGAGCAAACAGGGTACTGGGAGGACAGGAGCTTGTCAGATCATCTGTGTTTTGGAATAATTGTCGAAAATTATCCCTTCGTGGCTTTATAGTGAAAGATATAGGCGACCGGAAGGTCAAGTGTTGACCTTCTGGCGGACACCTTATATGTCTGGTACTAGTGCTTTTCTATCCATATCTGTAACAGACTGCACTGGATTCGAGAAAGATATATAAGGTAAATGTTGATGAATGGCTGGTCTATCTTTGATTATTAAGGTGCAGCACCCCCAAGAAGTGGAAGATCCTGTATAAATATGTAATCTTGCCGAGGCAAATAGCACCTCAGGTCACATTAGAGCTATCTGAACATAGGAAACAGTACCCACTGTGGCTGTAATGACATGGAGTAGAAAAAAGAAATAGGAGAAAAAGAAATATATCAGGCCAATGCCGTAACCGAGCACTCCTGCTCCATCGCCGCAGGTCCGCCAATGTGACTCGTCAACCCGCAGCCGACGGGCTCAAAGAAGAGAAAAGTAGAAACAATGTGGGGAATTTAACACAATGAAAGCGAAAGAAAAATGGAAGAACAAAGAGAAGTGATCAACACGAAGGAAATCCTAGCGCATCCCAATGCTTATGAGGAAAAGACACAGACGGAAATAGACAAAGAAAGTAGCGAGGACACCAACAGACCAGTCGCTTCTGATCCCCAGGACTTGGCACCAGATCACGATATCCTACAGCCCAAAGTAGGGAAAGTTCGATCATCAACATCACGTCGTCCCTTATACGTAATCGTTCATCCCACTCATTTGGTCGTGACTCAGACGTTCTTATACAGTAGCAGGGGTTCGCCAACATTTTCGATCTCGGGAATCGTGCACTTGAGGTCAAAAGCCTTGGCCAAGACGATCTTGAAGATCTATCACGCTGTCAACACTAGCAACAGGGTATAACTTCACACATCGGGACATACCTTCTGCACGTTGATGCTGTGACTCGTACTGCTAAAAATTAAACTAGCTTTCATGGCCTTGGCAAACCGTTTCGCCTATAGGTGGTCAGTGCGCGCTAAGACACCTCATATGCATTCTCGCCTACCTGAATCGAGATCTCTTCCTGGTCTTCGCGGGGAAAGTTGACGAAATGGTCATATTTGGTACCGATCAGGAAGGGGATGGCAGTCTTGTTGAACCCACGACCTTGTCGGTACCATTCCTTAATTGAGTTCAGAGTGCTTTTCCGCGTGAGATCGAACATGAACAGAATGGCGACAGCATCGTTGCACACAAGGGGAAGCATGTTGACGAATTCACGCTGGCCACCCAGATCCCAAATCGAGAACGTAATCTCCGTATTCCGAATGGAGATGGTCTTCTCCATGAAGTTGACACCTTAAGATCGCGGTCAGCATTATTCATTCCTAGCCGCGCAAAGAATCCGCTGCATACCGAGAGTCTGGATATAATCCTCGTCCCAACTACCCTCCACATATTTCACCATTAAACTGGTTTTTCCGATCTGGGCATCTCCGACCATACCCACCTTGATCACCACGCTGTTCTTGGTTGACTGCGACGGCTGCTTTTGGCTGACATCGTGCGTAGGCTGAGGCAGGCTGGTGGACATTTCGGAGCTGGGCCGGGATGACGATAATGGTTGCGGCTGATGGGTCAGCGGGGAGAAGTTCTGTCGAGGTTGATCGTTTTCATTGTGAAAATCGCGAGCCGGAGAGTTGAATTCGTGGGAGGAGTAGTGGGCGCGCGAGTCGCTACTGTAGCCATTTGTGCTTGTGAACTCGTCTGGTCCCGCCAGTCCGAGGCTTGCGGGAGCGGGTGTATCGAGGCTCTGGGATTGCTCCAGATGCGCCTGATTTGCGACATCCGAAGTGCCGGCCACGGGCAGTTGTGACGCATCCATATTTGGATAACAGATGTTGGGTTCGGATGGTATCTGTGGGTGGTGTGGATTAGTCCCAGGCGTAAACACGGTCGAAGTCCGGTGGAGCGGGGATGCTGAGACCAACCGAATTTGAGGATTTGGGATCACAGCACCGGTTTCCCGGAACCCATCCAACGGAACAAAATCAGACGATGACAAAGGGGAGGAGAGAATGATCTAGGAAATTACTGATTTGTCAGTTATCATGTTTGGGAATGCAAGCGCTATAGCTTGGGGACCGGAGCTGGGGCAATGAGCGGGAAGGATGGGTTTGGGTAGTGGTGGTATGCACCTTTTGTTGCAGAAACCAAACAATGTGACAGGTGCACTAGTAGTCAAGGCACGCAGCCGTGTGGAATGACTGGGGGGGTGGTTTGGGCGATAAGGAAACGACTTAGCGGCACCAAGCAGAGACCAGGGAGTGTGTGAAACGAAGGCGGTGCCAACCACGGAGCAGCAACAGAGAAGAGTAGCAGCACCAACAAGAGGGAAAGAAGGACAGGAACCAGCTGAGGAGGGATGAGGAACAGCCCCTTGGAGGAGAAAGCAAGACAAGCAAAGCAAACACAGCCGCAGCTCCTCCAGAAAGCAAAGCCAGCAAAAAAGCGGGCGCCAGACTCCGATCGCGCCTATTCCCCGATAGGCTTAGCGCCCTTGTCCCGTGAATTTCGGCCTGGCAAACAGAAAAAAAAAAGTTCCCCGAGTCTCGCTGCCACGAAATTCAGCCAGTCTCCTGCTACTCAACCGGGTTTGTGGACGACCGACAATTGAAATTTAATTTCCCGACACCCTACACGTCCCACCGGTTCATCATGTCGAAGAGATCTGCCGACGTTTCCGACGAGCAGAACGCCGCCCTCAAGGCCGGTGAGCGTCCCGTCGTCGACGCCCCTCCCGACGAGGTGGGGGAGTTCGAGGATGAGTATGAGGATGAGTTCGAGAGTGAGGACGAGGTTCTCGAGGCTGGTGTAGATGGTCGTCCCGATGCTGAACGGGAGGAGGAAGAGAAAGGTAAGATCTTGCGCCCATTGCGACGGGTTCTGCCAGTCGCATACTGCGATCCTCGAATGTGGCAGTCATACTGACCCCGACTGGTCCCTTCAGATGCCATGGACCTTGACAAGCAGACTTTTATTCCCGGAAGGACAAAATTGGCACCCGGAGAGGTCCTCTCTCCCGATCCGTCTACTTACGACATGCTGCACACTCTCAGCACCCCGTGGCCCTGTCTATCGTTCGATATCGTGCGCGATTCGTTGGGCGACAACCGCAAGACTTATCCCGCCACTGTCTACGCCGTAACAGGCACACAAGCAGAGGGCCGACGTGCAAAGGAGAATGAGCTGATGGTGTTGAAGCTAAGTGGTATGAGCAAGATGGACAAGGAGGATGGCATGGATTCGGACAGCGACTCCGATTCGGACGACGACAGCGAGGCGATCCTGGAACACAAGAGCATTCCTCTCGGATCGACGACCAACCGCATCCGCGCCCACCAGACCCCTAACCAGTCCGGAGACTATTCCAAGCCCCCGCAGACTCTTACCGCCACTATGCTCGAGAACTCCCAGGTCGTGATCCACGATGTTACCCCCCATCTCACCAGCTTCGATGTCCCTGGAACCATCCTCCCTCCCTCCGCCAACAAGCCCCTGTCTACCCTCCGCATGCACAAGTCGGAGGGATACGCCCTCGACTGGTCTCCGCTACAGCCCCTCGGCAAGCTGTTGACTGGTGACAATGACGGTTTGATCTACGTGACGACTCGCACTGAAGGCGGTGGCTGGGTCACCGACACTCGTCCGTTCACCGGCCACATGTCGTCTGTTGAGGAGCTCCAGTGGTCTCCCAACGAGAAGAACGTTTTCGCCTCTGCCAGCAGTGACGGCAGTGTCAAGGTGTGGGACGTTCGTTCGAAGTCGCGCAAGCCTGCTGTCGACGTGAAGGTGTCGAACACCGATGTCAACGTCATGAGCTGGTCGAACCAGACTTTCCACCTCCTTGCGACAGGTGCGGATGACGGACAGTGGGCCGTCTGGGATCTGAGACACTGGAAGCCGAATGCCGCGGCTCCGGGATCTCAGACCACAGCTTCCCCTGTTGCCTCGTTCGACTTCCACCGTGAGCCTGTCACGAGTATTGAGTGGCACCCGACCGACGACAGTGTCGTCGCGGTCGGTTCCGCCGACAACACGGTCACGCTGTGGGATTTGGCTGTGGAACTGGATGAGGAGGAGAACCGTGAGGCGGGAATGCAGGAAGTTCCGCCGCAGCTACTGTTCGTGCACTACATGGAGTCCGTCAAGGAAATCCACTGGCAGGCCCAGATGCCCGGTACGATCATGGCTACGGGCGGTGTTGGATTTGGGTAAGTCATACTCCACTCTGTTTTTTTCTTTTTATTTTAAGGGACACTAAAGCTAACAAATCGAAACAGTGTGTTCAAGACAATCAGTGTGTAGACAAAGTTCAACAAAAGTGCCATTTAAACGAATGCATATAGGTAGTTTGGTGCGTTTTGATGCGTTATACCACATGATCGGTTATGTTATTGCTTTATGATGAATTATATAGATTACAATGATGAAGCATGATGCCCATTTCAGAGATGTTCCCAAATATACCCGGTTGCCAATTTTCTAGCCCCAAGCTTGATTATACTATAATCTTGGTATAGGTTGTATCTAGCCAGTCACTCCTTGATTTAAGTAGTAGTAGTAATGAAACCACTCACTCTACTTGACCCAGTTTAACCCCAGCCCAAGTCTCCACTTTCCTTGCTTTATGTAGAAATCTCGACTGAATCGCTAAGCGGGATGACCCGGATCTGCTGGTCAGCTCCACCTACTTAGTACTCTTGTGCCCTATGAGCGACAGCAGCAGTAGCAGCATTAGCAGCATTTGCGGTTGCGGCAGTGGTGCCGATAACAGTCCCTATAACGATATCATATTTATAGAGAGAGTACTGAAACTGCCGACCGCGTCTACTCCATAGTGACTACTCGATACACCCACCCACCAGGGGTCCCATCAACTGGGTCGAGTCGAAACGATATTTCGATGTCGAGATAAGTATGCGGGCTATGAATAGAGATGCAAAGGGGTCTTGTCCCCCGCTGCCCGGCGGCTAGCTAGTAACAATCTTCTCGGTATCGCTCCTGTCTGATTAAGATCTTGTAAATATCCTTCTCTCCTAATCACAGCAGCGCTCGCTATTGTTGAGCATCGCGTAAGATATTCACGTATTGAGTAACATGAGCATCCGGACGGGCAGCCTGTCATCGGGGTTATGAGTCGTGTGGTAGCGGGACCCGGTCTGAAGAGATAGACGGTGATCCTTAGATGAATATGTATCAGAGACATGTAAAGTAGGGGACGATGGCCAAGACCACCACATCGCCGTCCTGACATCCCGGTTTCGAACGCCGGAATGAAGAGGCAGATGACTGCGGGGATCTCGCAGCAGACGATTCCGACGGTTTTGAGTATGGAGACGACGTCGGAAACTGGTGGTGTATGCATGCATCATTAGTAAAATATATAGGCATGCTTGCATACATGAAGACTCGGAGTCTGGTGTCGGGCGTTGAGTTGGTGTGGGTTGACGAGTGGGTAAAGATGCCATCAAGCCAGGCTATAGAGAATAGCACGCGAGACGATTTTTTAGGCTGCTCACCCGGTTGTGAGTGGTGACTGAGTTACCCTTCCGCGTCCATGTACTTGTGGAGATGTACGAGGACCGTATTGTCCATGGCTTCGAATCTGTCGGCCAACTGAGCCTGCGTTCGATCGGCTGGTCAAGATCATCTGCTATAGTTTGAGCGATTATGAATGTCTATGGCTTTGAATTTGTCAACCAGCATATTCTTATTTCATCTGGCCGACCAAGCTCATCCGCCATAGTGTAAGCGACGTTGAAGACTTAGATAATTTCTGAAGCCGTCAGTATCGGCCACTTCAGTTGTGCCATTGCATTAGCGTATTTTTGCAATAGGCATCAAAGAAGTTGACGGAACTTACGTACCCGTCAAGGGCCCTTGTGCACTGTGTACACTTGCGTCAAAGTCTTCATTCTGGTATCTCTTGCCTTCGCGGCCTTGACACAGTGGGGTCGTTGCCCGTATAGATCCGCGTAGCTTATACTCGCAGGGGGCTGTTGGGTGTCTTGTGTAGTTGTCTAAATACTTCGTACTTTTGACCAAGTATCCCGGTTCGGAGGCTATAGTACTATCGTGGGCTCGGCGGTCTCTTCCGCCCCGAGCAGACCGATATAATAAGTCAGCCTGATAGTACTTATGTTTGCACTATGCTTTGGACCTAATAGACACCCATAGCGTCCCTTATACACCGTCAGTCAGACTTAATTCTTGATGAAAACATAGAAATTTCAAGTAGAAGAACTACTTACCACAGCTCCAAGACCAAGTAAAAGCTTAATCTCAAGAAGTATTAAGACCCCGAAGCCCACATGGGCCACGCTCTTTCCTGTAGAGGCTCTTGTCTGCCAGTACCTAGACGAGAGAGATAGTCCAAGCTTTAAAGACTGAAACCATAAGGCCACATTCAGGAGCCCACCGACAAGCACACCGGTTTCAGGGTTCTTCCAGGTACCAGTCCCTGGGCTACATAGTAATAGATAGCACCGAAGCCACTGATATAAGATACCGATGATGTATCATGCGACAATAACATGTGTAGAACACCAAATGGTATCTTCGGCGCTCAGGTTCTGGTAAGGCGTCTGCCTAGTGTGTTGCTGCCCAGTGCTGGTATTGTCCGGATGCAGCAAAGCCGCCTGACAAGCGTAGAAAGTCTCTGACAGCAGGGGGGCTCGTACTTTGGTCGATATCTCAATCCGGAGGGTAGGCAAACGCGTTGCTCGCACCTGTCAGGGGCAAGTCAAGGTGTAACTCGTTTATCAAGTACTCGATACGGTGTAGGGTGACTTGGTCGAGCCGAGAAACGTAGGAAGACGATGACAATGCTCGAAAGTACGCGATTTGATGTGCTATTTCCACTAAACGACGTTCGTTTCTTGATGATATCGAATAAACAATCAGCAACAACACGCAAGGGGACAAGTAGACGCGTCAAAAGGTAGCGTCGAAAGGGAAACGAAGCTGAAGTGCTCGGAGACTTGGGATTAGCGCGGGAGGCAGCATCGAACGAATAAACAATCAAAAGGAGAGGTCCTGAATTGCCACACGGAGCATGCTGCCAAGATGTAGCAGTCTACATAAGCAATTAGACTACCTGAGAAAAGGCCCATGCCCAAAGACCTATTACAAAGAGGAACGGTATAGGTAAGGCTAAGCTAGAGTCCTCCTTCCGACAATTCGATTAGAGGGCCTGTCACAACGCCTTTTCTACCCCACCTGGGTACATTGGAAGCCAGTTATTCTCCACCTCTTGGTATAGCGATGATTGTCCAATTGGCCCAGTGTATTTGACGTATCCCCCTTTATTCTGATGTCGGCATCGGACGTAAACTCGATAGCACGTTCGTCTCTGGGCGGTAAACTGATGGGAATGGATAGTGTCTGTATTGCATATTAAAGAGATCGCATTTGCGAATCTATACGTATTACAACACGGTGAGATTGAAGAGGCTGCTGGTGGTAAAAGTAACCGGGTTGACACGGTCCGGCTGCACAATTCGCTTACACTGGCGTAGGTAGGCACCATGTTTGCAAATGTTACCTTATCAGATGTTTCTAAGGCTTGATTGTTTTCATTCTAGTTGAGATTATTGATATTAATATGAGACGCAAGGTACTGGCCTTGTGGCCTGGTGATAGTGGGCTCAGGGGTTGTTCTGTGGTATGTTGTATCAAGGATAGTTGGCTGGAGGGTGCGTTGTATACTGTCTGGATTTGTGGTAGGATCCAAGCGGCTTGGAATATCGTAATTATCAAAGAGATGATACCGGAGCAAGCCATTCCAGGTGTTTATGATCTTGAGGATTGCGAGGATTAGGCAGGCCGAAGTCAAGAGGGAAAACCGGAATTGCCCCATGTTTGATCAATTGCATCAACCTGTCGGATTCAAGCAGAGTCTTTTGAACAGTCTCGGTGTTGGTCACAATGTGAGTTTCGAATTCGGACGGAGGTATCCTGAGAAGTTCAGAGAAAAGGCGAATTGTCAAGACAACAGTGCCCAGGCCAGTAATACGGAAACCAAAAGACGATTCCACTGAAGAGGTGTTGGATGACATGGTGATGGTGAAGACGGTCGAGGGACTGAGGTTGTGTTAGGCGAGGAGACGGAGTAGGAGGCAAAGGAAGAGGGAGCAAGCAGGAGAAGAACATCCCAGGCAGCAGCGGTACATTGAATGCGACGTCATAATGTGTATTCATTACATACCCGTGTTTAATCGATGAAGAACCCTATTCCTTTTGTGTTGCTCCTCTATCGTTCAATCATTGGTACGATAGCAAGGCTGCCGCTCCGCTATGCCTTAGGTTCAAGCACGTATTTTCAATTGCCCACTCGAGTTCGGATGCTGAGGTATGAGAAGAACGATCTTCTTCTCACTTGTAGAGTGATGCTTCTTCATTCTTTTGGACGCATAAATGACTCCAATTTAGAGTTCTGTGACCTTCAACTCAGATAGAGACAGTCGGTGCTATACTCCCCCGTGGAGTCGCAAGGAGAGCCCCGAGCCACATCCCGGGGCTTCTGAAGCGGACTCTGAGAGAAAGATTCGCCTTTCCTTTCTCTTTAATGCGCCTCTGTACCTCATTCGACGCCCATTTTAGACGTGGTAGGCGCTAAGCACGCGTGAAAATGACTGTTTACCAAGTCGAAATTCTGATCTGCTCTGATATCCAGCGCGATCCGCTTACACCCCAGTAGTGTCAGCGCCAACATGTCCTTGAGTAATGGCATTTACTGGATGAGACAGGTTAGAGAAATTCTTTTGGCATTGCTATTGGTATGTTCTGCCCTTTTATCCAGGAGCTTGACATACCAAGTCATGACGAATGGCGCCACCACGCCGTCTTGCAATGCAAGTGACTAGAGCGTCTAGTTGGAGTTGTATCTTATAGATATATTAAACGTTTTCTTCTTTGAGAGGCGCCAATGTATCAACAGTGCCGCGTGTCAGGACGCGTGATTCTTCAAAGGTTGCTTGGTCTTGATACCTCAGTAAAGGTTGTGAGTATCCACGCTGAGGAAGATAGAAGAAGATAGATAAAACTCGCAACCATGACCAATTGAGGCAACCGGTCATCCTATATTGGAGGAGATATTGTAAAGAAGATATGAGGGCTTGGAGTGTATATGCCGAGAAAGATAGATAGAATTCGCGCAAGTAAAGGCCACTTTGACTCAACCGGTCATCTTATATTGGAGGAGATGATGTAGAGAAGATGTAGAGAAGAGAAAGAAATGAAAATCAAACGCAAAGAAGGTCTCTTTTATATACTAGAACTGCTCGGTGAAGAGCAATGGCGCATGAATCAGTAAATTCACGAGTCAGATTTTCATCGGCGTAGATCACTACGTTTACTATTGCCTGCATTGCAAGCATTGAATCAATGCAAGAACCTGCGAATCTGTGCTATTCCCCGGCGCCGATTCTATAGACTATAATGTGCTTGTTTGGTTGTTTGGAGTGAATTGCTTAATATGCGTTCATACCATGTTGCTAATGGAGTTTGCTCTACTGTCATATCATGCTCATGTGTGAGCAAGCTATTAGAATGGTGGGATATGATCATAGCATCCAGGCACAGCGTGTTGTTTTGCGGTGATAACTTTCACAATAGATCCAACTAGTAGCATACATAATCCCGTAATTATTATTCCTCCGTTTCAGACGTAAATCATAAGTGTTCAATGCATACGACAACAAAAAACATAAGCTCAAAGTCGGGGCTCATACAGGCTGGTCATTCGATATAGTAAGCAACTCTTGACTGTTTGTCTCCACAGACGTGGAACTCTCACTCCGATGATGAACGTTCTCATTCGCTTGCTGGTTGTTCTGCCCATTAATGAGTTTTACCCAAGGCTGTGGAAGCAGCGAAGCCATAACACTGCGCAGGCGCTTTGTGGCGGTTTCCTCATGATGATCGATCTTGCGAACCCATAGTCTATCCAAAGCTTTCCGCAGGACCCACTCGTCGTTTGTCAATTTGACCCACCCCTTGTTTTTACTGAACACTTTCGAGATTATGAAAATGAGTAAGAGGACCATATGCTATCGGAACTTGATTAGAATGAGTAGATGTGCTTAGCTGTTGCGCTGGCTTACCGGCCCGTACGCCATGGCAACTTCGGTGACGGTTGCGTCTTCATTCCACCATGTCGCGCTGGAAAATGCAAAAATGGTGATACACCCAATTAGTCCTATCCAGGCCTGAAGTGGTTGGAGAATAAGAAGACTGCCCCTAGGAGTGTATTTTTCATGCAGTCGGATGTATTGAGGACGGTCGTGGTACCGAAGTCGGGGTTCGCATTTTTTCAGCCTGCGCCAGCAATGAGTACCTCAACACTAGTTGCATATTGAGCAGACACACGAACCAATAATAGTAGCGAAGGAAGGCGAGACAGATAGCTGCCCATACGATCATTATAGCGGTGCTGGACGAGATAGATATAACTTGGACCACCTGGCTCCATTAGCAGATAAACAGAGCAAATGTATCACACCTACACACCTGCTGTACTGCAGAGCTATGCGCGAGCTGTAGAAACGGGACCCAGCAGAATGCTAGCAGTGACACCAGCAAGGATACAACTGGAACCTTGGTGCCCTCACTTAGAATCGCTAGCTTCCTCTTGATCCATACTTCTTGACCCTTGGAAGATGCGGGAAAGTGCTTGGCCATACCCCATAAGGTTCGGGAAGCAACGTACAGTGAAGTGTTAGCGGCAGAAAAGACACTGAAGAGTAAACAACCGTTGAGGAATCCAGCCATTGACCGGTTATTGGCATTCAGCGCCGCTATTATGATCATGCTACTCGACGAACCAGGGTTGGAAGTAGCCGATAACGTGCTGTTTGAAACTCCATCATGGAGCTGCGGTAGGGCAGAGTCATTCCACTTCACGTTGATAACCTCCCCCAACGTGCACATGATGTACACGACTACCGCCGCGTACGCAGTCCAACGAGCCGGCCAACGAAGTGCATGACCGTCTCGAGCTTCATACGCAGTCATGGCGTATACTTCGATGCCCTGGAAAGCGTATGCCGTGAGCGGAATAGCATAGCTGATATCATGTTAGCATGCCAGATTAATAGATGAGGGAGTGGCGAGCTGACCACTGGGCTTGGCCATTACTGCTATAACTTTGTCCATGTTCAAAGCTGGGCGAAGAGACTGCAATAGGTAAGTTTATGCTGGTAACTCAATAATAGTAACGATTATATAATTGTGCAATCTGGGACTGCCACTCACCATTGTCCGCAATTGTGTAGAGATAGATCGAGATTGCCACGATCATCACCAGCTTTAGGAAACCACCAATGGTTTCCACGACACCGTACCACTGAGATTCTATTAGCCATGTATCCATCAATGCGACGAGACAACCCACAAAAACTCCAGTCATGTTGAGAAGAAAAAGAATGGCTGGAACAAAAACATAGCAGATAAGAACTCTCCACGCAGTTGGCAGGCCCCAATACTCTAGGAGAGTCGCAGCCATAGAGGTTTGGCTGGCAAATGTTGCGGCATATGCATACCTATTTCCCTATTAGCTGCAAATGGTGCTTTGTGCCGAATCGAAAGCTATTACCAATAAGCCAGTCCGATAACCCAGCCAAGATCCTCGTCGACGAATGTGCGAACATATTCAACGATCGAATTGTAGACCGGAAATTGCTGAGTCAACTCCGCAATACATTCGTTAACTGCTAGAATCACTATGCTGATGATGAGGACCGCAACAATCAAGCCCATGGGCCCCGCAATGGCGAGGGCCATTCCATTGTTGGTGAAAATGCCACTTCCGATGACAACACTGAGCGTGATGAACTGGGCCACGTTAGCAACGACCAAGCCAACTGAGGCATCATGCATACAAAGATCTGAAACCCAAAGAGCTCCTGTCTACACCCGTCAGCATATTGTCAAAGTTTCGGAATTTTTACATACTTAAGCTTCTCTGAAGTGTCCACTTGAGTCGTCATTGTGCTAGGCTACTATGGCACCGCCCACTCAGGGTCGTACACTGTGCGCTGAGTTTGGACATGTAGAAAGGAAGATACGAACAAAGGAATAAGCGGAGCATTTAGGTGGCAGTTGTGAAGATGGACATGCATTATGGGTAAGAAACCTAGATCGGTGCGTCCGCCGAAGTGTAGGGTGCATCGCTTGGATGGGGGAGATTACGAGGCAATCGGGGAACGGGGGGATCTCACACGAATCGGGGCTATCGAAGGATCAGACTAACCTCGACTCGGAATAACTTACTCCAGAGCCTCGCATGGTGTTTCCCAATGGCTGATTGGCTGGTGATAAGAACACACTCGCAGCCTCGCCGAACGTGCCAACACTGAGCGGGGAGAGAAGGCTGCCTTTGATTGCTTTTTGCTCCCTCCTTCAGTGCTCTTGTGGCACGTAGACAGACCTGAAGAGCCTCCTTTTGGCGTGCATGGCACTCTGTAGTGGTAACAGAACAATTGAGTGCTAGTAATCGTACCACGAGGACCCGACCCCAAATACATATATATAATTCACGCTCGGGGCTGAAATTGGAAGCTCATGGGAACGGCGCTCAGAACCTTGCGATCACGGTCAGGTATCCCTCATCCCTATGGCTTCTTCCAGCCTCCCATACCGGCACGACCTTACCCCAGACGTATCATCGTACATCGAGATGGCCGAGGAAATAGAAAGTTATGTGAAGGAGCGATTTGAAAACCAGGTCCAGACGGATGTGGAGGTAGGTCTCACAGCCGACCATCAAGCCTGACATACAAGGGGACAGACTGGCTGACGCCGATGACACTTGAACCCACAGTTTCGCAATGGCCGATGGCTGATTTGGGCTAGCGTAAGATTTACTAAGGTATGTCATGGCAGTGCATCTTATGAGCCCATGAGAAGAAGGTGGGGACTAACCTTTGGCCAACAGGAAGAACTGGAGTACGTGCTCTAGCATCAATCCGCTGACGCCCGGCTGACCTGAACCACCTGACGCTGTAGGGACATGGTAGTGGAACTGAGGAGCCGCGCAAGAGAACAACTGGCCGCGAATTATAAAGCAGGTCATCCGTATGGATAGGATGGCTGGTCCTAATGTATCAGCTCGGGCGACTGTAACAAGGTGGCAAGTCAAGGAACACGCGATGAGGAGGCGAGGATGTGTCCTGATGGACAGTGGCCGTGGCGCAGACAGGCTATGCCGGTGTTTGCTAGAGGACTAGTCCTAGATAGTCAACCTTGTCCGTTGATGACTGCCAATCGATCTGACCGAGGCGCTGTGCATACATGTCCGGGATATTTGGTCCCATCCCTCAGCCTTGCTGAACGCTGGTCGGCAAGGCTTACCCGTAAAATTCTGAAGGCATTGTGGCCCTGAAGACCGAGAGACTCGCAAAACAGATACTGGTTTCCGAATAGCTTTCAATATAAAACCAAGTTTATTGTCCTCTCGAGCTAGCCAAAATTGGGGGGGTGAAGAAGTGAGAAAAAGGGAACGAGGAAAGAAAATACAATGACGGTGGACGATGACCCGCTCCAAATATGGCGCCCTTACCTGCAGCAACTTCCCGCTCACCACGACCCTTCTTCGGTCAATCTCGCTGACCTTGAGAACCACTTGCTTAACGGAGTCCCACGGGTATTGACACGCAGAAATGAAATTCACGTCCGACTAACGGATGTCTACGATGGTGGGTACCGTTAAAGCCCCTCTGTGGAAGCATACGAACTCACGCCCCATGTCTCGCAAGATCATCGTGCAACAAAACTCCACAGGGACTTGGAATCGCTTCAAGGCTTTTTCACTACAGAGTCGGCCATACCGGATGGGTTGAATATAAGGATCTTGTATGCATGCCTTGCCCTAGTCAATGGCCACCGGTATGAATAAGGTGCTAATCAACATTGGGATCAAATAGGTCCATCTACTCCTCCGCCTCCATCCTCCCGCTCAAGATTACTCCGCTGTTTATGGCCCTTCTGCTAGAGCGATATGCCGTCCATCCGTCTTTTATCCAAGTGCTGCTCTCTTTTGGGAGAAATGTTCATATTTCAGAAGCAGGGAACAGCCTTCTATGTGTGGACGAGCGCGAGAACGACGCCTGTGAGTCTTGATTGTTTTCCATATTTATGATATCAAGAGATCAAACGGTAACATGAGGCGAGCAGATGTTTCATATCAGCTCAACTATGTTGAAAAGACTAAACGCAGGCTGATACCTTGGTCATGGCGCCACACTGGGGTGTACCATCATCGTCACCAATCAAATGAGCATCAGAGAGGATACGATTTTTTCATTCTCCTTCATCCGAATGAGACTAGTGTCCCGGATGAAAGGATTCTAGATGGGCTTGGAATCTTTGAAGAGCCAAGAATGCAAGCAGGCCTAAGCCAAAATGAAGCCAGGAACCAATCAATACTGGTTCATTCGCTAGTTCTCTCCTCCTTCATTTGCAACTGGAGATGGTATCTTCGATATCTCGGAGATCAGTTCGAAGATTTTGTACGCTTCACAATTCCTTAGCGAGGCTCTGACCATCTTACCTCCCTGGGTCGGGCTTTCATGATAGCAGAATGACTATTGGGCTAACAAGTCTTACTAAATCAGAATAACAGAGCTCTGGTGGACTTACCTGATGAGTCCACTCCCAGAGAGAGCTATAAAACAGTTTCAGAGCTTCGCAATTTGAATGACTTCGCCCTGCGCGCACATGTCTGCTGTCGTGGCAATTTGGACCTAGTTAGAGCCCTGAAACCCGTCATTGCCTCTTCATTGGGTAGAAGGGCAACGGAATCCACGAGACAAGCTCTCCCGGGGTGCGAAACACTATCATTAGCGCTCGAGGGCTACATAAAGAGCTGTGAAGAGCTAATCCCAAGGATGAGGAACGCGATTGATCTGGTTGGCTTCCAAATCCCATAAGTCGTCAATCGAAGGACAGGCTATGCTAACGCTACATAGGCCGGCTATACGCTTTCGCTTCACAATCAGCTTGAAACAGCGAGAGTCGACCGTGAACTGCGCGATTTGACCAGCAGCCTAAAGCGCTTGCAGGAGGACAACTTGGATGATAGCGCCGCAGTCAAAGTAATCACATTCGTGTCGGCAATCTACTTACCAGGCTCTTTCATCGTAAGCCTATATGGAATGAATTTCTTCGTCTTCGATGAGGATTCACGCCAGATTGTCATTGCCAAGGACTTCTGGGTATTTCTCGCCACCTGGCTGCCGCTGACCCTGGTCACAGGGTTGATATATGTGTTGATTGTATGGTTCGATGCTTGGTGGAAAAGGAAGCCGTTCCGCTTTTTTGAGCGTCCGGGGAAGCGCGACGTGAGTAAACCGGAGATGCAGGTTGGGAAGGAGTTCGCAAATGAGTGAGATGGAATCTAGATTTGGTAGTCGTTGCTCTTTGAATGAAGTAAAGGGTAAATATGATGCCTCAATGATTTCTATCACTGGGAGGTAGATCAGATATGAATAAGCTGGTCTCGTTCCATAATACCACCGTTACTACCCCCTGCTGCTCATAGGCCCGTACTTTGCTGGCCAGCTTGAAGCTCTTCGGAATTTCCAGAACTTCACGGCCCTGGGAAATGGAGGCATGCGTTTGATTTTCTCGGCGAGTGATCTCAAAGCGGTGTAGATATAAACGCGTCGTGATTAGATGACCGCTCTTAACTAATCCGAGCAGATATTCATCGCCAACCATACAGCTGACCGTCACATTCAAAGTATCGAACGGGCGCTCGATGCGCTCTGGTTCAATGCCGTGCGATTCACTACGCTGCTGATTCAGGGTAACAGCAAGGTACCTATTCTGGTCATCTGCAAGGACACACCCTCGACCAGAACTGTTTGGCATAACAGAAGTATTCCAGTGGAACCGATGCTGCTTTATATTTGTTCAGTGATGCATCATGTGAGGCGGGTGGCTGTAGTATAGCCTACCAGAGAATAGTGAACAGCGAAATCTGGTTCATCAGCCAACCCTTCAATTTTCCAGACGTACAGAGACTCTTTCTTTGAGCTCCTTGCCCACGCAAACAAGAAGTCACCCCTAGCGTTGAATATAGCTTGCGTGAATGTTTGTTCCAAGTCGGGCAATTTCAGTATGCGCTGCATATCTGATGACGACAGGGATGTCCAAGAGAGGAGCAATAATTTGTTGTCCTGGACTAGAGCGAACAGACCACGCGGAGATACGGCGACCGATATTACTTTCTCGCTTTCTATGGTATTGGGTAGGCTTTGAGAGAAGCCTGAATTAACCTCTCCAATATGAAGCTTACTTCCATTAGTATAACTCCGTAAGCACTACAGAGAAACTTACCATCCTTTCCCCCTCCTCCTTACAGAACCCCCAAACTGCGAGGTACTGACCTTCGATGACAACCTCGGCATTTCCTAACTTTCCGAAAAGTGCTAGAAATTGGACCTCTCTGATCTCTCTTTGCGAAAGGTCCAAACTGAGTACTTCGACTTTGTCATTTGACACTACTGCTATTGGGACCTTGCCTTGGCAACTCGTCCGCGACAGATAGGTGTCAATGCAATTTTTCTTGCCATGCGGCAGTGGCTTGCTCGGCGCCTGTAAGCCTGACCCTCTGGGAAGTTCTCGATGGTTTGGCATTCGATTGGATGGCAGACTAAACGGCGGACTGGAAGGCGGACTGGATGCCGGACTTGATGGTTGACTGTATGGTGGATTATATGGCGGACTGGATGGCTCACTGGATCGACTGTTTGATCGACTGTGAGACTGATTAGATAATGAACTGGGTGACTGCCTGGATGAGGGCTCGACTGGGGATCCGATGGGCTGCGAATCGGGATCTCGAGGCACATCGCCTGGTTTGTACACACTCGTAACATATGTAACAAGCTTCTGCGCTTTGGGCCTGCTCTCCTTGTCGATGATGAGGATGTCTTTGATTGTCTTGACCCATTCACCTACTACTTTCTCAGGAGAAGTTTGAATGTGGTCAAGCCATCGGACAACCGAATCTCGTACTTTGAAACCTGTCGCTTGAGGCGACAAGCTTTGACCAAAGTGTTCATCCCAGAAAAAGTCATTAGTTATCCCTATTTGCCTTTCCTGAGCTAAGTATTCAACACCTTCGCGTCGTCCGATCGCCCAGGCAAGTACTTCAGTGAAAATGCATCCATAGGCCCAGATATCACTTCGCCGACCTATCTTGTTGGTCATGGCCCTTGATCCTATTCGGTTAATAGCTTCCGGTGGGCGATAGGTTCCTCTTCCCCCGTGAGGGTTCACTTCAATTGTCGGTTCCCGGTAACAGCCTCGCACACTGAGTGGACGGCTGGAATCAAGCTTCTGAGGTTCAAGCACGGAGATACCAAAGTCAGATATCATCCACTTTCCCACAACAGAGCTTGCATCATTCCTGATTAGGATATTGTCCGGTTTGAGGTCCAAATGTGCACACATGATGTGCTCGCCATCAACCTGGATATAGTCATGCAACCACTCAATAGCGCACGCCAGAGCCCAGCATTGGTGCAGCAGTGGCTTGAATATAGCTGGATCGCCTTCAACCGGTAGGCGAGGAAATTGATTGTGAAGCTCATAACTCCCTGCCCCACCATGTAGAAATTGGTACAAGTCTCCGTGCTCGGCATACGGGAAGAGAATATAGTAGCTGTGTGGATCGTGGTCCACCGCTGTGTAATGCTGCAAAATGTGACTCTGTGTTGTAAGACTCTCCTTCAGAATTGTGAGATTCTTATATTCCTTGAGAAAGGCTTCTTTGGAGTCGGAGCTGAACTTCTTGCAGGCAACTTTATAGGCGGAGCTGTTGGTACAGTCTCTATCAAATTCCCAGTACCCCGGCGTTATAGTCACCAAGTCAACTTCGCCAAAGCCCCCAATGCCCAGCTTTTCAGGTTTTTTCTCGAATGGTAGTCGACTCTTCGAAGGAACACAATGTAAGAGCCTTGTGCAAGAGATCACTGTTGGGCAGAAGTCGCATTGGTGGGATTCGAATTGGTCGACTAGCTCTGAATGACCTGGGAGGAATGTCTCGATTTGCTCTCGCTCTAGCGGAAGATCCTTATCGGTGATACTTCCAGTCAGGAATAGACTCCGAAAGTTTGCTAAGCAATGTGTGGCACCGATCGATACGAGAGTGGTAAGGATGACAATGAAGTTGTGTTGGATGTTGTGCAGATCCTCAGTGGTGAGGCAGTCGGTATAGAGTACCTTGTGGATACGACCCTCCTTCTGCAAGATCTTGACCAAATCCTGATAAGTAACGAACCGGTTGGTAACCTCATATCGCCGCTTAGTATGATTCTCCAGGTCATCCTTAATAGCTCCAGTGGCTCTCCAGAATTCGGAGCCGGGTTGAGGACTACTCATCTGGTTTGATTGCAGGAGTTGGACGACATGGAAATGGCATGCTTTAGTGCGAGTGTGGTAAGTAAAGGAGATACTGTGGTGGTGAGCAGGGAACGGAGCTGCGTCGCTGAGAACACGGTCATGTGCAGGAGGCACAGCCTGGTGACGGTGATAAGCAGCCTGCTTCTGGTGATTGCTAACTAAGCCGAGGTTAACCGAAGCAAACTACTTACTGAGTAAGCTTTCTACTTACTAGATACTCCCGACTAACTAGCCAATACTTAACTTGCGAGTGATGTTACCAATTATGAACTACGACTAACTAGTGATTGATATATCAAAGGGACCAGTGATTATATATCATGGTCTGAAGTTGCAGGGTAGAATTGAGAGAAAGCATCCGCTGGTGTAGTAAATCTAGATACAAACTATTTATGCTCAATATCACATATTCCTACATTTTCCTCTCTATGGAAAATGAGCTAATAGGTGGGCATAGATTCTACTCTTCCGTTTAGATGATGCAAATTATCCTGTATCTACGAGCAGCCAACTGGGGTATATGATACAAAAGCGTATGTAGTGCAATGAATAAGCAGATTTAGATTCGCCAGTCAAATAAAAGATATGTCGAATCTGGGCCAGACTCAGCTCAGTTCCCCTCATCAGCTCTAGTCTGGCAAAATAGTGGCTGCAGCCCAACAAACAGCCTTGTTGCCCAAAGAGCGCAAACGAGTCAGCCACTATAGTGGCGGTGCATCCTGTGGCTTATCCGCAGCCTTACACACTACTATTTGCGGCTCACATGATGGTATATATATAGATCCTTGCTTATCACTGCATACATTGGTGACCACGGACCTTTGACTACTCCATACAGGGCACCTGAGTCCATCGGCCTCTGAGACGATCGTAAAGCGGCTGGATTGTGCCAAGAAAATGCCAGGGTAGCATCCGACATGAATCGCCTTATCTCCGGGCAAGCAAGGAACATCCGCCGGACAACACAGTCGCGGGGCTGATCGGAATGGCGTCCTGACAGCACAAATAGCGCATGCTTAGCGAAGGGGTGGACCAAAAAGTCACAGCTGAGTCGCGATCCCACCGAATCAGGTCCTAAAAGAGCGCTGGTACGGAGGACTACTCCCTAGAAAGCAAGACGCTGAGCTGATCGGGTAGAGGATGAGACGGATCAGCAATGGCCGGTGTCAAGACTTGACTAGGATCAGGCCTTAGCTTCATTTAGGTTCACCACTGGTTTTGTGTGAAACCCCGGCTTTGGGGCCGCGGTGGGGAAAGTCTAGCAGGGGTGGGAAATTACCACTCTTGTATAGTCACCTCGCTAGTAGACTAGTCCCGTGGGTGAGGCGGATAGTTCCTTATTCCCTCTATCTCTTTCCACTTAGACTTATTGAAAATCTGCCACATTCACTGGTCTCATAGCGTTTGTTTAGCACTCCACGTACTGATTAATCATTTTGACAGGGGCAAAATGATGCTCGAGACTTCACAGAGGCAATTGGCCAACAAGGGCTCTTTCATTGAGGGTCAATCTCGCGCTTCTCGCACATCGCCGAGTTTGTGCTAATGAGTTAGTGTGAGCCGATTCTTTGTCCACAATCCTTGTCCGATCCCCATCGGGCTAAACTAATCACCGGGGTCTTTCCGACCAACAGATGGGGTCAGCCATACAGAAGCCGTTGAAGCCGAGACTAAGTACTAAATGAACAGATCCAAAAACATTGAGAGTCTTGGAGTCACGGAACACGCTCTAGTGGACCGGCTAAATATCGTCGCATGCGGTGGTGTCTCGTTACTGCGCCCAAGTTGCTTTAGCATGTCCCGCCAATCGAATCTGTTTCCCTCTTAAACTGGCCAGGGCAGGCATTGCTAGTTTGAAAATCTGCTTCCCTCGAGGCTTAAATGCTCGGACTTCGCTCCTATTCCGGGTGTCCTCACTGCCTCTTTCCGTGTTTATCCAACCCGCTGTGCATTAACTATCACTTTTGGGAGTCATGTTGCGCCCAGCATGGAATCAGGCTTGGACAAGTCTGCTTCTAGGGTTTTCCGCTACAGTGTCAGCGCTGGATCTGGAAATTAACAGCACGCGTAAGGCCCCCCTCGACTGGATCACCGTGAATGGGATCGATGAGCTGACCAACCCTCTTTTGCACGACATTCAGAATCGATCAAAGATGCCGCAACAGTGACAGTTCACAATACGCTTACCAACTCGACTCTCAGCGGCAATGTCAATCCGGTGTACGGTGATGCTAATGAGTGGATATTTAACTCATCCACCGTGGAGGCGTGGCTCTACTCGACTCTGATTCCGTTTTGGAATCTTACTGGAAACGACACCTACAATGAACTCATCAGCAAGCGCATGTATAGTATGGCAGGACTGGAGCTCGGAGATTCGTGGGCAGAATCTGACAACGATACCAACATGAACCATGCGGCTTGGGCGCTGGGTGCTGTAACGGCGGCTGAGATGGACTTCCCGGCCGATTCCTCCAAGGAGTCTTGGCTGTTTTATGCAGGTCAGGCTCAGGGGACCTTGAGTAGTACCTTCGCATTTTCGAATATATGCGACGGTGGTCTTGAAATTTCCAACGTTGATATAGAAGAGACGAACAAGTCGATGAAAGACGCCCTAAGCAACGGAGAGTTCCTGCAGTTGTCTGCACGACTAGCATATCTCACCACGGGTGATAATCAATCATCTTATGTAGCTGATGCAGTTAAGGTTTGGGACTGGTGCGTGGATAACGATATGGTGGTGGAGTCAAATTGGACCATCAATTACCTGGTGACGAATACGACCGCCTCAGGGAACTGCACGGCGATGGCAACGAATAACGGGGAATACACATATATCTATGGCCTGTACATGAGCGCGGCAGCATACATGTATAATGTGGTAGGTTTGGAGAGGCTTCCCCATCATGTGTGAGAAAAGTTTGGCTAATTCTGGGTGCTCAAATCAGACCGGCGCAGCTGCTTGGGAGAAAAGAACAAAAGGGATGTTAAATACCATCATGAACATGTTTGTTGATGATGGTGTGATACAAGAACTTGGGATGGAGATCAGCCCTGACGCAGGATTCTCGGGTTCGACTTGGGACGATGATACTGCGTACGCCTTGAAGGGCCTCTTGGCATCCTGCCTTGCGGTGGTGACACACCTCATGCCAGAAACCGTGGACACGATTGAGCCTCTCCTCCGGAACACTGCAAAGGCCGTTGCGAAGCAATGCAGCGGCATGAGCAACGGCACTGTCTGTGGTTCGGATTGGACTAAATCGACATACGATAAGGATCCCAACTTCTTCAGTTCGATGAGCGCTGTGAATGCTTTCACAGCAAACTTGTTAATGGCGCGAAACTCCAGTAGCTCAAGCACCACGGGAACAAGCACCAACGGAACAAGCACGGACGCCGGAAGTGGTGGAAGCTCAGGTGGGCTCTCTGGCGGGGACATTGCTGGCATTGTGGTCGGATCCGTTGCTGGCGCTGCTATGATCGCTGCTGTAGCCTTTCTAATCCTCCGCAAGAAGAGGAAGCAAGCTGAAAGTGGAGCAGGAGTAACACCAGAAAAGAATATGACCACTGACTCCAAAGGCGGTTACCAGGCCGCGGAACTCGAGCCACGAGAGGTTGCGGAGCTTCCACAGGGCGCTGCCTCCTACAACTTCCCGGAGATGGACACTGACACTGCGATGGAACAACCGCCCCAGGAGCTGCCGCCCCAGGAGCTGAAATCAACGAAGACGATCCGTTATGAATTGGCCTAGCTGAGATGTATACTTAATTTTACAGACTAATGTACATAGAAGGGAGTGCCGGGGGCTTCAATTAGGCATACTACACGATCTAGCAAAAGGGTCACACCACTTAATCGAAGAGCAGTGTTATGTGATTCATACCAACAACTAGCATATTTAAAGGCTGGTTTAATTCTACTTTTTCAAGTATCATAGATCTTTCGCTGGAAGGCGTTTGCTCCTGTGATCGCGAATGGACCTGAGCACATCAAGAGTCCCAAGAGATAGTTTCCACCTGATCAAGAAGAAAAACATTCAAAGAATATTTACTTCTTCAGGAATAACCCTGCTGAAAAAATTCTTAATAATTCTGGTGACAGCACGGCTTTCAGCACTAATGCAAAAGTAGACAAGGATTGGTAGTCTATACAGGGATTTGTGCAGTCTTGACTGACACCTGCAACTGTCGCTTCCTTACATATTAGAGCCATTTAAAGCAGATATTGGGAGGTATGCCAAGGATTGCCGTACCATTAAACGGGGCTTCTACATTATTCTTCATGGTTAGCCGCCTTGATAATGACTCTGATAGACCTTTGGCCGCATGTATGGCCTACAGAGCAATTCCCGAAAATCATCTTTCGTGAGATTCTTGACTAACATTCCCTTGACTAAATATGTCTGCCTATGCTTAAAAAGACTCATGCAGAAGGCTGGCACTATCCTATATAGGCAAAGTGGGTAGTCCTAATCACCTAACATCTGATGAAATGCTGGAGTGGATTCTCTCCGACCGAAACCAACAGCTACGGATACACCATCAAATGCACTCCAATACCCCTCTTGAAGGATTATGAGACTCGAATGTTATTCTATCACGTCTGTTTGGTGCGTGAAACATAAGCTACATTTTCTTCCTTGGTGACAATAGCATAACTAATGGTTGAGTCGTCTCCAGGATACCCCTCACATTCTCCCGTCCACCTGAGTCTCCCCGCCCGGGGATACTATCAACCCCACAATCCAGTCACGCGAAATGCGGAGGGCGGTTGAAGATATCTGCAAACACTGCTTTTGCATGCGCAAGGACCACGCTAGTCAATGCCGAATTCTTCATCCGACCCTATAGCGTCTGGACTTTTACCAAAAGTCTCCTCCCATTATCTTTGGAGCCGGAAATACTCCGCCTTTTGGCTAATACCACGAATACATTGGAAGGAAGGATTAATAGAATTGCTGATCTCTGTATGGTCATTGTCGGTCGGCTTTTGGGGCCCTTGGTCCTTCCAGGTCATCTGAACTTGGCTACGGAGCCCGTGAACTTGCGGGTGGAGGTTTATGATTGCCGTTAATCTTTCCCGAAGGAAGATCATCTTCTCAGATACAGTCGAGGTTGTTAATGAGACCAGCAGGCGGATGCAGTCTTCGTCCTATAAATCGGTCTGTAGCTGGCATCCGACGTAATGGGCAACAGGCGGCAGCAGTTTTTGCGGATTCTGGTCTGTAGTTCTCCTACCTGTCACACCCCGTCATACTGAGAAATTGGAATCTAGCAGACACTGTCAACGCATCAAATTGTTCAACATGGCTCTCCGCTCCATGCCGTGGGCTTCCATGTCAATATTATCTCTATTTGGGGTTGGTGCAGCTTCAAGCCCCTGCACTGAAGGAACATTCTCATCTCTCAACTTGAGCAACATTGATATACTTTCGCTTAATGTAACCGCTGCGCGCAACTATGCCACCGGTGCTTCACTATCCAGTGGGACCACCTCAGCCCCCGTAGGCCAAATGCCGTCGACAGTGGACATCTGCATCGTGTCCTTGCAGTACACGCATCCTGGCCAGAACGACATTGTCAATACCTATATCGGACTCCCTCTCAATGACAGCAACTGGAACTCACGGTTTCTGATGGACGGGGGTGGTGGCTGGGTAGCTGGAGGGCTTGACGAAATCATCGCTCCTGTTGCTTCCGGATACTCATCCTCCTCGACCGATGGAGGGCATAATAGTACAGCCTCGACGGCAGACTGGGGCTTTGTGAGTGAAGGTAATACCAACTGGCCGGCGCTGTGGGATTTCTCCAGCGTGGCACTAGGCGAGGCAGCTGTACTGGGAAAGCTGGCTACGGAGATCTACTTTGGTTCGCCGCCCAAGTACTCGTACTGGAATGGATGTTCCACTGGTGGTCGACAGGGGCATATGATGGCCCAGAGATTCCCGACTTACTTTGATGGTATTGTAGGAGGCTCCCCGGCTATCAATTGGGACAAATTTCAGCTGGCTGAATTCTGGCCTGCTTTTCTGGCGCAACTTCTTGGTGTGTTGACTACCAATGCCTCAACTAGGGATCCGTGCTAATCAATACCTGACAGATACGCAGCCGCCTGCATGTCTCCTCGATGCATTTACGGATGCTGCCATTGACGCCTGTGACTTGCTGGACGGAGTGAAGGACGATATAATTTCTCTTCCGGGCCAATGCCATTTCGGAGCATCGTCGATTGTCGGTCAGACAGTAAATTGTAGCGATCCGGATGGACAAATTGCCATTACGGACAAAATGGCTGAGCTAGTCCAAGGCATGTGGGATGGCCCAAGATCACTTGAAGATCAGTTCGAGTGGTACGGGCTGGGTTATGATGCCGATCTAACAGCCCTCCTTACTACAACCTGCACGTCAGTCGATAACTGTACTGTGACACCTTTTAGTATCAGCGCCGACTGGGCCCGGATTTTCTTGGCCAGAAACTCATCCTTCAGTATCCAAGGCCTGACACGACAAGACTTTGACGATCTCTACCGCGAATCGGTTGACCAATATGCTTCGGTTATTGGAACGCGCAATCTGGACTTGACAGAATATAAACTTGCAGGAGGAAAGATGATCTCTTGGCACGGAATGCAGGACGAGTTGATCCCGACCAACGGTACGGTGGACTATTACAGTCGGGTGATGGAACTGGACCCCAGCGTCGCAGACTACTACCGTTTCTTTCTGGCACCTGGAGTGGAACATTGCGAGGGGGGTAATGGATTCGACCCCAATGATTATGTGTTCGAAACTCTCAGAGCGTGGGTTGAGAATTCAACGGTGCCTGACACCCTGGAAGCCACTGCCGTGGCGGTGGCTGGCTCGAACAGCAGCTCGACTCGAACGGCGTATCTTTGTCCTTATCCGAAGATCTTTACCTATGTTGGCGGGGATCCGAACGATGCGGCGTCGTTTAGCTGTGCTTGATATAGAATCACGCTTTTCTAGATTCTGAATATGACATCATCCTATTACAAACACCATCGCTATCCCATCATCACCACCCCGTATAATCATAGCCACCATAAGGATCTACCTCCGCCAATCAGCAGCAGTAAAATACAATCTGAGTCAGCTACAGGCACAATGCGGGGAAGACAGCACTAGACCCAAACCGGCAATTGCTGGCCCCAGGCCCGCGGGGTGAGAGTCTCTCCGCATTGGCAGCAAATCAATAGCCGACGAGCTGCCATTTCACCTCGCAGCCAAACCCGTCCTCCTCTCCTCTGTCGTGCTCTCATCCCATCCCTCCCCCATCAGGCCACACTCGCCGTCAATCTCATCCTCCTGTCCAGTAGGCTGGATGAATCTCCTTAGCCCGCCGATGTCCCTGTCCGTTTGTTGTCCTTTCCCCGCAGCGCTGAACGCTAAGGGCCCTTTGCCCCACAGCCTGCCATGAGAATCGGACGAGGATGTGAACGTTGTCGGGTTCGTCATATTCGATGCACCACTCGCGCGGGCGCCTCGGCTTGTAATGCCTGTACTCGTCTGGGACGTGTCTGTCGCTTGGATCCGCCGTTTCGTTTCAAAGCCGTCCGACATGTATACCAGAAGAGTAATGGCATAGCCTCTAAGTTTGAGTTAGCCTGGGATTCGCGCCAGACATGGGTTAATCTTCCCCAGTCATGTACGCTGGAATATACCCTGTTGGTTGTTTGTGAATCTCTTAGCATGCTGATTGGTTGTATAGTAAAGTTTGTGCAGGAATCGTCCGATGACTCGGACGAGGGCAACACCACCGATGCTCAACCTGATGTCCAAGAGAGCCATGATGATAATCAGGCTGCTTCTGATGAGGCTCAGAGAGATATCTCCGATCAAATATCCGTTTTTAATCATTTGCCCTTTCCTGAAGTCCTCTATTCCCAAGATGAGAATATCCGCCCTTCACATGTGGGCTCGAGTCCCCCTGTAGGGTCCCCTGTCTTCGAGGACCCCCCGATCGTTGCATCCTCTTCAGGCTTATCTCCTTCTCTTTTGAATATTGTCTCGCCCCTGGCGTCTGCGAGTACATGGACAAGCTCGGCGTCACCACTGAGCTCGGTGAGTCCCCGTCCGAGCAGCTCACCGCCGTTGAGTTCCCGTGAAGCCCATCTACTACGACTGTTCATTCAGAAGATCGCACCATGGGTAATGCCCCCTTTATATAATGTAAACTTATAGGTCTAATATTGTTATGCAGGCCGACATATGCGATCTTCGCTCCCATTTCAGCACTGAAGTCCCTCGTCGAGCCCTGCAAGTTCCGATGGTGCTGAAGGCCGTGCTTTGCCTTGCAGCCCGACACGATGCGATCATGTCCAATTCTAGTGACTGGGAGGCCTCCGAATATCACGGACAGTGTCTGGAGCTGCTCATTGCTGCTCTAGCCCTGCCGGAAGAAACATATGACGATAACCTCCTTATCACTGTGGTTACCCTCCGGATATATGAAGAGCTCGAGCGTGCAACCGATGAGAAGTGTCATTGGGTGGGTTCAAACAGACTACTCAATACGATGTCAAAGTCCGCCTCTTCTGGCGGTCTCGCCGAAGCAGTGAGCTGGCAATTCCTCCGCCAGGCCATCTATGCTTCATTGGTACAACATCAGCCGATGCAGCTGGACCTCGCCAACTACGAGCTCTCATCCGTGTTTCGGCGCCGCGACGACGCTTCATATGCCAACATTATTATCTTCTTGTGTGCGAAAATTATCCAATCCTGTTGGGGATCGCATTGCAGCTTTGTCGATGAGGGCGAGTGGCAGCATCTGTCCGAAAGCGTGGAACAGTGGCATCGTGCGCGGCCTATCAGCTGGCAGCCGTTACAGTACAAAGATTCAGATCTCGCAGAGAATCGACCGTTCCCTGAGTTGTGGATGATGTCTCCGCCAGCGGGTACGTACCAGCATCTGATGTGTAGCTATTGCTGACAATGTAGTCGTCGGTTTACAATACTACCATGCATCGTGTATCCTCCTTACTTCGTCCCATCGACACTGGAATGTATCGAGCGACTATGAACTGGCGCGGTTGAGACGAACCGAAGAGGTATGTTTTAGTCTGACTGTGATGTGCCATGCTAACTGGCCACAGAGAACCATAGCATCCCATCTCGTGCGGACGATAGGACTTTCCATGTCGAATGAGACTGTGGAGAACGCATACTTTATGGCGTGCCACTTATTACATCGATGTGAGTGTAATATTCGTCATTCGGGCCAAGTACTAATTCTAGTAACAGATGGCTACTGCCTCCGCCACCCCTCCGAGAAACAAGGGTCCTTGAAATTTCTCCGCCGGGTGGAAAAGGCGGTTGGGTGGCGCACCGACTGGATGATCCGGGAGCTTGAGGTTCAGTGGGGAGAGTTGGCGGAGATGGATCGATGGGATTGATGGTCCACATACACAGTATGGAGTTGGAGTATGGAGTATCAGGGTTGCCTAAGTATGGGGTCCAAACTGAATCGCATGGCTACAGAGTAGTTAAAAATATCCTGCAAATCATATACCAATACTTTACCTCACTGTCTCAATTATCCACTGCTATTATGCTATAAATAATTGGTTGAAAATCATCCGCCATCGCCAGGAGAGACGATCCGCCGGCAAGTCATTAATTGAGTTGCCTGCAGGGCCTTCCATAGTAACTTGGAATGTGTACCTACATGATTACCACAGATCCCTTCCCCTCATGCCATGACTAGATACTACCATCCCTAAGCTTCTCGGCACTTTATCAGATGCGGGTGTGACCCGTGTGTGTGTCTTGGCTACCATCCATCTCCGACGACCATCACAACCTGTTTCTACAATTATTCTACCACTCGTACAATGATAACCAATTCATAGATAACATGATAAAATCAATCATAAAATGAATCCATACAACCACCACATTTTATTTACCGACCTCCCACCCAGCTACTGAACCAAACGTTTGAAAATGGTAGTAATCGGACATCACTACCCAATCGGGCATCCCGAATCTCTTCTGCCTGAACAACAACAAACACAAAAGCGGGGATTTTCCGACCCGCCATCCACTTTCTCTCGCTTCCAATCAATCAACATGGGGCCCCCTCTAGGGTTTTTGCTTCAATTTCTCGTCACTGGAAATTCTGGTGCCTGAATGATTGTGATTGTGATGGATGATAACTATTTTTAGTAAGATAGTCAGTCAGTCAGTAAATCAGGGTTCAATGTGACAGTTATTGATTGGGTTGGATTGACACATTAATCAATCAGGGATGTGGTTGTAGTAGTCGTGGTTGTGGTTATGCGGTGTGCACTATGCACGGTGCCAATAACTATCTGAACTAACGGTATGATGAGTGTCACATCGAATGTTAATAATATGATATGATATGATAACTATGGTATGGTATGGCTGAGTTATGAGATGATGGTGGTGATCGGTCAGTCCACATTACTAGTAACTATGCTTTGTGCTTGATTTTTTCCTTGGTGTCGTTTGTGGGTCAGGATTAATGAACGGGGCAGTGTTGTTGTTGAGATTTGGAGACTCGGAGTTTTCTTGATTTTTTTTTTCTTCCTTGCTTGGTCGCCTTTTTTTTCTTTCTTTCCTTGGGATGGTTGCGCATCATGGAATTGCTTTTTACTGCCTTGATTACATGAAATCATGATCAATGCCTTGTCGTGTAACTTATCATTACCTGAGGAATGAATGCAGTACTACTATCCCTCACACAACAGCTGAAACAACAACCACCTATCGATCCATCTAGCTAGCTAATTAACTGATCATCCGAGATCCTACTACGTACTTGCATCGGAGATACCACTACCACCACTACATAATTAGTCCCTCCTCCCCAAAACAACACTAGTGATTAAGATATCTATCTGCCTACACTCCTCACCTCACCTCACCTCCAACCACCTAGAATAGTCGGAGACTAAACCAAAACCAAAACTAATAATATCCCATTCCATTCCCCCCCTGACTCTTAAACAAAATCTAAATACACACACTATTAAGTAAGAACCATAACATCTCACCCATCTATACTAGTCAGTTAGTTAGCTAGTTAGCTATCTCCACAGACTCTGTCTCAAATAGTGCCGACCCGTGCGTGTGGTGTGCCGTCCGTTCCAGTCTGCATGGTCTCTCTGCATGCATGGCTACACTACCACCAACTTTACCACATAGCACTAATTAAGTACTGCTGCTGCTGCTGTCCACGGTATTACTTATTCCGCACCTATCCCCGTCTTTTCGGTAGTAGCCTAGTCTACTACTAAGTTATTCTTCCTTTTTCTTTCAACCTCACCCCCCACACAGCCTCTCACCTTCGAGTTACTACTACTGCCTACTGCTCACACTCGTGTTTATGCGTCCATGTGTCGAATGATGTATTGATACCCTATCCAACATACTACTAACCTACCCACTTTACGAGTTTATGGTTGTTACTGCTAGTTAAAGTTCTGAAGTTACGAGGATATACCTGGTTTCCATTGTACTTTCTTCTTTCTTTTTCTTGACGGTTTGGTGCACTGGTGGTGTGTATAGCACCCCAACGGTGCTGCGTTCAGATGATATGATACCCACTCAAAGCCACCTCAATTCCTATACGCGCTATTCGCTCCTCGTCCTGGGATTACTCCTGCATGCACATGTACCGCTCGTAGCGGGTGATGATAACTCTAATTGTGAGTTGTATCTCTAACCCTTCTTTTCATGGAAGCCCCAGGCAACTAACGAGTGGATGATGATGTGGTGATGCATAGGCTCCTCCACCTCAACAATATCCTCCCAATCTGATGCCGACTCGCTCTCCTCCTGCGATACCCTCTCCGGCACCCTGACTATCTCCACTTCTGCGACAGGCAGTATCTCGCTCTCCAATGTCGAGACCATTAACGGTGGGATTACCATCCAGGATGTATCGGGGTTAACGTCTTTCTCGGCTTCGGATTTACAGAAAGTGAACGGGAAGATCTATATTTCTGGGAATGATGACTTGACAAATTTGTCATTTCCGGATTTGGAAAAGGTTCCGGGGGAGATTGATATAGAAGGGAATAGCAAGTTAAGGGATATTGTATTCCCGGATTTGAAGAATGTCGATGGGGCCTTGATTTTGGAGGGGAGTTTTAATGAGTGGGTCTCCCAATTCCTTTTCTTCGTGGGGAGGATATTCATTTAACGGTTGGGACAGGATCAAATTTGAGGACCTCGATAAGGTCAAAGGACAAACAACTATTCACTCCCATGGCGGATCATTTCGATGCTCGAGTCTCAATTCTCTTCGTGATGGTGATGATGACGATGACGATGATAACAATACTCGCCGTCGCCGCGACAATAACAACGACAATAACAACGGCGCCTTTCAAGGCGCGTACACCTGCACCGACAGTTCCAGCAGCGGACTCAGTGCGGGCGCCAAAGCCGGTATTGCCATTGCTGTGATTGTACTCGTCCTTCTCATCCTTGTTGGTGTGTGGATGATGTATCGGAAACAGCGAAAACGGCGCAGAAGACGGAATGATGATCAAAGCCAGATGATGTATACGCCTGTTGGGGTCGGTCTTCGTGGTGGCGGTGGTAGTAGTAATCGAGACGAAGAATCTTCAGCTGGTGATGAGAAGCCTGTCACTGGAGTGCCGAATCCTGCCGTTCTGAGGCAGAATAGTGACTCGGTCAATGCGCTTAGTGCCATCCCCCGGAAACCGATTTCGCCGCCACCGCCATCGAACGAGATGAATAGGGAATCTATGGTGTCCATGTCGACGTCTCCGCCCCTCCCTGCTGCGTTGGTCCCAGGAGATCGCTCGTCTGCGTCGCCGCCGAATGATGCGGATGGACGATCGTTGTTCCTGCATCCGATCCCCCGGAGGCGACCGTCGGAGACAGATGTGCCGTTGCTGGATAGTGGTGACGTGCATGAGGCGCCCGGAAGTCCAGTACAACGGCCGACATTTGAGCTAGATGCAGGGCCCGTGCGAGGAATGCATCAACAACCTATTCATCATGAGTAGCATGCGCTGCAGTCTATGATTTGCATGTCCAATGTATATACCTGAGCGCGTCAATAGTTTCAAAAAGATTCACGAAGATAAGAATATCTAACTGTACATTAGATCACGAATCATAACAAAGAAAACCAAACCAAATGCAACCTGATATCCCCAATCATGATAGTATACATCATGCATTAACAATCATCCATTAGATTATGACTTCTTCGCTCGCACTGCCTGCAGTGTCTCACCCGACGCCAATGGTCCACACCATCCGTACGTGTCGCACCGGCATTGCTCGTACCGGGGGCAACTATACCCGTTAGCATTTTCTCCCCACCGAGTGGGAGGTAAACTTACTATATCACATCCATCCCGAAAATGATATGCCAGATCTTCTCATACACCCATCCCACGCCGAAACTATCCGTCAGCTCCGTCTCATCTGCCCACTTCAGCATACGCTCGTAGTCCTCACGTGGCCGTTCCAGGATCCGTTCGCGGCTGACGGCGAACTGTCCGCAGCACACGTTTCCGATGTGTTCGGGCACCTTCTCAGCCGGTACGCCCAATATCGTCTCGTACACTTCCGGGAAAAACGCGCGGATGTCGTCCTTCTCGATATCGATCTGTGTCGGGCTCCAGGGGTGCACGCTCGTGGGACATCCCGGATCGTGCTCGCACCGAAGGTTCACATAACCCTGCGCGTCGACGGCCTCAAGTCGGAGGTTTTTCAGCGCGGGGCTGGTATGGGGACCGAAGAGGTCATTATGCCATTGGTCGAGGTTCGAGTGGATGAAGATGGTATACTTCGGAAGTTGGTGGTAGAAGTCGACGACGAAGGAAAGGTATGCGGCAGCTTCGCGACCACGGATGGTGCGTGGAACAAGAAGGTGGGGGGCAGGGGGCTGATCGGTCGTGTAGATAAAGGGAATTGAACCGCTAGGGAAGGTTTATGTCAGTATATTATCGCCTAATGGCTAGATGGGTCGTACTGGTCTTTGCAGTAGTTGAGGAGCCAGGTGAGGTCCTCTTTCACGGTCGCAGCTAATACCAAGCCAATGTCATTCGTCGCATTGCTGTAGGTACCGGTGAGTTGGGCCAGTTGGGACGTCACGATGTCGTGGTCGTTGTTGGGGGTTTCTTGGTGAGCTGATGAGACAAAATCGGGTCAGCATGATGTCGGTGATGATGCACACGGACCACGTGAGCTGCAGAGAGAAGTATAGATACCTGGTTGGGGTTCATAGGGCCGTGTACCGTAAAGATACCAAGATACCATGGAGGTGACAAGGAGAGCAAGACATCCCAGGCCGGCAGTGCGGCGGGCAGGCCAACGAAATAGCCGCCTCTTGGACATTGGGGATGGGCCTCACGGAGAGGGGGAGGCGACGGGACGGAGGAGCAATATAAACCGGGAAGCAAGAGGGGAGAGGGAGGCGCAAAAAAAAGGGGGGGAGGAATGGAAACAAGGAGGCAGTCACAGATCAAGACATGAGACGAAAATTAAGTCGCGTCATCAGCCATGTTGCGCGCAGCTAAACGAGAGAAGAAATGGAAGAAGTTGAAGGTGAAGTGAAGTTGAGAGTGAGAGTGAGAGTCAGCCTCAAGCGACGGGAAAAGAAAGGGTAACTCTCAGGGAAAGGAAAATGGATGGCCAGCCAGCCGAAAAGCCAAAAAGGGCCCCCTCGGGTGGGTCCAGGCCGGACGCCATGGCCTCACACAATACGCAGTAAGGGGCAGCTGGCGACGCCTCTAGCCTTATCCGGGCTAGTCTGGCCCTTCTCCGGCCATTTAATCGTCAGGATCTGAAGTCGAGTGTAACCTCGGTGGAGTCGCGATGTTCCTGGTGGTGGAGGTCTCCCCACCCCCATTGGTCGCCTGTCCCCGGCCCAAGAACCGCTAGTGACGGATCCATCCTTAGTGCCATCCAGCCATGCCCCGTTCGGAGCTAGGCCACGTTACTTGCAGATAACACCTGGAGTGTGAAATCTGGAGGTGGAACAAAACCCGAGAACGGTCGCGGAGAGAGGGGCAGGAAAAAGGATTGAGTCGCGTGCAATAACGGACGGTGAGGGAAACAAGATCCATAGGTAGGTGCTTACTCGTTATACAGCTGCCGGTTTGATTTGGAGTCAGCTGTTCTGCCTGTTTCGTTGCAGGGCCAAGAAGCCACTCGTCACGGAGTACGTCACCCTATAAGGCCTACGACCAAAATGATGCTTGACGGGTCATTTCCGCCGTCTCGGGCCCATCCGGACGCATGCAGATGTCGGTATATCGCAGCATATGCCACGCTGCTGTCGGACGGCATCTGGTGGATCGCATCGTTGATGACCGGCGAATATATACATTTCGTGCAGCCGCCCTGAGCCACCGCTGCTTATATCCCCCGGCTTTATGCAGTACGCGCGTCTGTCGATGGGTGATCTTCAAATCGAATTAGGTTCAGGGGAAGTGTGCTTCCTGAGTCCTGACAGCTTTACATATTAAGCGGTTGATGATCAGGGGGCTTCATTTTCATACTTCATTGTATCGGATGCCAGCCAGCATCGATCTAGTAATTTCCATTTCATAAATGCACGAAGATGTGCTAGCTTCTTTAACCTATTTATATGAAGCGCCACTGCCACCAGTACTAGATAACGGTTGCCATTTTGCAAGAGATTCAATATAAGCTACTTACCCACATGCCCCTAAATAGAAACATGAGTAAGCCACATGGTGGTACAACATGACAGGTGTGGACCATCCAGCAATAATGTACGTATAATGACTGTTATTGCTCCCGCTGAATGGAAGGTGGGCCAGTTCCAGCCGTGCTCGAGCGTGGACGGAGATATGGAGAAGTGATCTACCATACCCGGAACGTAATGGCCTACTACTACGCTGGCTGGGTAAGTACCTATTCTTTCCACCAAGCTAACGGTTTTGATGACCCATCCATTTCAAACAGCACTCCTTTCAATACCGAACAGGCTGTCCAGCAATGTATCGATGCTGGAGTGATTGCTGATAAGATTGTCTGCGTTATGCCCTTGTACGGGCGATCTTTCATCGGTACTGATGGACTGGGAAAGCCGTTCACCGGTGTCGGGAACGGATCCTGGGAAGCAGGGGTCCGGGACTACAAGGATCTGCCGCACCATGGTGTCAAAGAATATGTGCTCGACCGTGCAATTGCAAGCTATAGCTATGATCTGACCGTGAGGATGTTGACTAGCTATACCCCGCGATCCATGGGGCAAAAGGTTCACTATATCGCTTCAAGGGGCTTGGGCGGGGTGATGTGATGGGAGAGTAGCGGCGACAAATCTGGCAACAGCAGCCTTATAGCTACAGTACGGGTTCACCCTAGCCCCAGACGAGCCAATGTGTTGATGATACCCTAACCTGATCAAACATCCTCTCTTTTCCTCAAAACAACCATTTTGGTTGAATCAGGATAAATGAAAAACCGATCAATCTCACTCTTTGGTCTTCCCTCTCCCTTATCCATCAACTTAACATCAAACTCCGTCACCATCAAGCCCAGCAATAACTTCAACACGATGGCGGCAAACCACCGCCCCGGACAAGCCTGCAGGCCGTAACCAAAATGCAGCGAGGACTCATTCACAGTAACGTATTGATTGTTTGTGCTGGGCTTCCCTGTTCTTTCAAATTCGGCTTGTTGGAGGTTGTGGAAGCGTAGGCCGTCGAATGTCTCGGGAGAGGAGAAGTGCGACTCGTCGAGGCCGATATGGTAGGATGGGGCGGCAATGTGGGACCCTTTGGGGATGTGCGTACCGTCTGCGAGGTCTATGTTTTCAAGGGTTTTGCGTTCGAAGGATACTATTGATAGGTTAGAAGGTAGATTGGAGGGAGGGTTGAAGATGTACCCAAAGCGAGGGGAGTGATGCGTTGAGACTCTTTCAAGAAACTATCCAATTTGGACATCTTCCCAAATGCTTCCTTTGTCAGGCGCTTCTCTTCACAACTGTCACAAACAGACTCAAACTCTTCTCTGATGATAGGTATATACTCTGGTCTCGCCGCCAGATCAAACAACGCCTGCGTAGCTGCAAAAGCAACCGTGTACGTAGTAGGAACCGTCGCCAAAATCTGAATCATACTCTGATGTTCATCCGTCCTATCATTCTCAGTAGAATCATCCCAAACCCACTGTAACATCGTGTTCGGTTTATTGGATTCACTAATCTTCGCCTTCCGTCTCTTCTCAAACTCCGGCGCCAGAATCTCGCTCATTCTCGCTTTCATTGTATTTACACGTCGCAGTTGTGGCAGTGTATATTGAACCAGAGGACGGAGACATCTGGGCCATTGCGTGATTGCTGAAATTGATGCGAAAAAGTTAATCGGATACTGTGTGTATAGATCGAGCCATTCTGCGTTCCGGCTGATTTCGGGGCCAACATTTACTCGCCCTGAAACGGAGCCGATGATGCGAAGCAGTTTTTCGAATGCTAGGATCGATTGCCATTTGGGTGAAGGGGGGAGTTCGCGGGTCATGGCGCGGTGCATCTCTTCGATTACGTCAGGGAGTATGGTAGCTGTATGACAGTTAGTATAATTCAATTTAATAGTAATGAATCGATCTACCAAGATTGTTATTCAGATTCACCTGGGTACACTTCATAAACGACGAAGAGCACATTGCATTGGTATACTTCGACTGGTATTGCTATATACAGTTATAGCAGTGTTTCATAGAGGGCAAGAACAATACCAAGATTAAACTCACATCATGCACATGACTGGGAAGATCAACCCGCTTATCCAGCCTAAGCAACGGAAGTAATTTATTTGGCAAGATGTACAGAGGATAGTCGGATGTCTGCATTTTCCAGATCGATGTATCTTTGAACTACGACGAGTGAGCAGCGTAAAGAACACAACTTCAGTGGCGTGTAGAAAACCTTTTTATAACCATTTTGTAGAATTTCCTTCTCTCCCGGCCCACTTGAAAGACGTCTTTTCAATAAAGCGAGAAGGGCAATGGCACAAGATAGAACTGGCAGGTATATGGTGAACGTCCAGTTACCTTGGCCTAACACCCCAACAAGAGTAGGTGAAAGCATGGGGGGTAAATTGGAAATGATAGTAGGAAAATAAGAAACCTGGTAGATCAATTTCCTGAGACTGTTGGATAGATTAATGGACCTTTCTCCGAGCTCAACAGGATCTTTATATGCTCAAGAAATATATTCAGACATCTTTCCAAGTCCTCAAATCACTTCTCATCTGATGCTAAGCACCAGATATCCGAAGTTTAATGAGGCATTTCTCTCATTGGGTAACTGCGAACTGCATGAGCTGAAATCTCTTAGACAAGGTCACTTTGATCAATCAGACTGCGATAATAAGCGCTCATATCTTGGATACCCCCACCTCTACCTACAGATTTACGAAATAGAAACACTAGCTTACAGTCACAGTCTATCTTCTAAACAAAGTATTTGTAATATACACAATTCTTACCAATAAGGGCATGGGATTATTTGGGTTGGTACTCCCATGTTCATCACATACATTTGGCGTCTATTGTGGCTTTTGTGGATCTGCAGTGGAGGTATGTAGGAGTGATTCTGTGACCGGGATCTGTTTCACCATATTGTTTTATCATTGGCTTATTTAGCAGGTTAGACAAGCGGTGAAAGCTGATCACATAATGAATCACAGCCCTAATGGAGATCCAACTATAAAGCTTTATGATTCGCGGTGAGAATAACCGCGCCTATTTTAGTCTAACCTAATTGGTGTAGTTTGAAGCACAGATTGATACGTATCAACTGCGCAAATCCTGGTAATTGGGCAAGGCCAGATATGGATTCTTTCAGCAGAGTAGTGGCTCAGCTGAAGACTCTATTCAATGTGACAAGTCAATCCTTTTTAACCAATCAGACCATGGCACTTTCTCGCGCATAGCCTAAGTATATGTTGGCAGTAGCTAGATCCATGTAGGGCTCGTGTCGAAGTCCAAGGTTTTGTGCGGGGGGTGAAGATTTAATTTAACATTACAAACTCTGTAAGAATATCAATAGCGATAAGAGTAAATGGAGAGGAGTGTAGTTTGGTCAATTGAACTTTTCTACTCCGAATAAATGTCTCATCCTGTCCCAGCTCTATCTCCATCAATCTCAATTCAACCAATTCAACTCAATATCCCTCCTATAACTCAGTCGGAAAACACACGATGCATTCGAAAATGAGCGTAACCTGGACCGACATCAACGCCTTCGACGTCCCCGAACACTTCAGTCGTTACCCCGCCGGCATTGCCAATAACGCCGTGGAAGTCGAGACGGCCATCAACAAAGTCATCGATGCATCTTGTTCTTCTGGCTCAAAGGAGTGGAAGAAAGCTAAGATCCGCCATTCGAACCCTGATAACAATCCTTTTGCTATTTGCCACTGTACTGCCTTTCCAGATCGGTTGATAATGCTTTCGTGTATCATTGAGCTGGCGTGGATAAATGATGGTGTGTACTGTGCTTTCTAGGTGGATTGCAACAAACTAACCGGTGAAGATGTTACCGAGGAACTGGAGCATAAAGCAGTAATTATTTCTAGTCCCCGTTTAGGTAGGTTTGGTTAATAAAGTATTTTACAGGCAATGGCCAAACACGACATCCTCATCGAAGCAATGAGTTTCGAAACCCTCGTCAAAGCTGATATCGGTTACTTCAATTCCCGCGAAATGCTCTTCGGACTGCTCGTCCAGAAAGCCTGTGGCGTAGATCCAGCATCCGCACCGGCCGTTGTCAAAGTCCTCACTAACTACCTCCGAACCTTCGATGCCAGCGATGAGGATTTCACGACCATGGATAAGTATAATCCGTACCGGGTGGCTAATTGTGGATACTGGTTAGACTACCCTCCTCTACACTCTAACCTTCGTACCTTGTCTAACAAAGGTGTCCACCTAGGATATCATCCTTCTTCATCCGGTGGGGAATGGATCTAACCCTAACCGATGCTGAGTACGCCCAAATCGCCTCCTTCGATTTCTCTATGGGGATCATCCTCGGCCTCACAAACGATTACTACTCCTGGGCCGTTGAAAAGGACCAAGTAACGGACCGGATGAGGAATGCTGTCCGCGTGCTTATGAATGAGTACAATGTTCCTGATACTATTGCAAAGTCTCTACTTAGGGGATTGATAGTGGATGAGGAGGAAAAGGCGGCGAGGTTGAAGAGAGAGATTTTAGATGATGGACCGAGTGCTGCGGTGATGCAGTATATTGATGCGATTGAGTTGTATGTTGGGGGGAGTTGTTACTGGCATGCTACTGCTCCGAGATATAGAGTCTAGGTTTATCAACGTAGGACTTGAATGAATATGAATATGAATACGAAGAGGACTATGTATATCATAAGATTTTAGCCGAGGTATGACTGAGGGATACTCGGTAGACAGATTTAAAATTCCTAGACCAACCAACTTCAGTTTCATTTTTATCAACTCATTAATCCATCAACATAAATCAAAATGGAACTTTTTAGACACAAGTATAGGAACTAACATATCAACCTCTAGTGGAGTAACAACCTTCAACGGCATAACCACTAGCCTTCTCTCCCGCCCTCAATGCCAACGCCCTTGACACCCAAGCACCCCAAAGACTCTAAAAGCCTCGACTTCGAAAACGACCTTACCCAGAATATTTGTAGTCTATCTGGCTTCCATGGGACATTCTACACAGAGCTGATTTCCACACCCTTACTAAAATTGATATTAACCAACCACCATAAAGTCTATAGCAAGTTAACAGACGGTATATAGGCCCTAGAGACCTGTCTCTACTCTACTTCAAGTTAATTGCTAGGCGGTTAATCTATCAGGCGGTGAAACTATCGAATGGCTACTCAAACAGTGTTGCGGATGCGTGGTTCATGATACTTACAGCCAAGAAGCTGATCATTTAAGACAGACTAAGACGAGCGGGCAAGTATATTATCTAATCCAGTAAATGATATAATATCAATAGTCTTCAGCAAGTGTCCGATTCAGAGTCGCGGCTTTGCTCTATCATAAACAGAGATAAATGGGGTAACAAGCACCGTCGCTATAATCCCGAGAATATTGAAGGGATTGTTGGTGTGGCTATTCTGGAGAGGCTCCCTAATATAAAAAGCTCTAAGATGCGGATGACCTATGTCATGCTCAAGTGGACTAATATCAAGAAAAACAAACACTTACGCTGAGGTGGCACCAATTAGATCACACGAACAGATCTCATCGAATTAACCAATGAGGAACTGGCTATGTTAAAAATCACGGAGGCCTGAGAGAAACAGGAGGCATGTTATAACAACTGGGAGCAAGGGCTATTTATAGGAACTCCAAGCCGTTCGCCACGCCGTGTTTATTAGACATTTTGCAAAGAGCAAAGCAGGCGGAAGAGTCGGAAATATACCGTGGGGGTGCGGCAAGTCACCCAGCTAATAATATGTAAAGATATATTTCAAAAGCTCCTACCATGAAATTTCGAAGAGAAGTGCTTGATTATATTCTCTTCTTCGTGCCACCGCTGTCCCGAGTGGGCATACTGTCTAGTCTCAGCATGGAGCCATGGGAATCAGACAGACAGCAGTCTCTACTTTGGTCTAAGGTTTTCAAGAATGACAGATGGCTTGAAGAGGTGACAGACGCTCACACCAGACTAGTATTGATCGGCTCATAATTTCAAGTTACTGAGGGGTGGAATAGAGTTTCTACCTCTCTGCACGAGTGGCCCACACTGACAGCCTTACTGGCACGACTGGTACAATGACTGGATAGTGAACGCAATAGGGCAGCTCGAAGGAATGATTTTTCTTTTTTTTTTTATCTCTTTTTCCCCCTTTTATGGCTGTTTGGCGGGGATTTTGAAAGAATGGCTGAAGCTGGTCGCTACGCCAGGGAAGGGTTATCACTCTTCAAAGAAGGAACTTACCAACCCTCGAGACGCCCGGTCTTTATTTTGTTCAAGGTCAAAGGCTTGCTAGTTCACCGGCTTACCAACAGCTTGTAGAGGTATATCCCGGAGTCTTGTATTGGTCTTGGGGGTTTATAGGTTGGCTAATTCGGCCGATGAGGATGGTGCGCTTGGTGTGGTCTGTGACAATGTTGATCCTGTCTTTTGTTTAATTTACCTTTAATAATATTTTAGTGAAAGTGTGTCAAGAGAAATATTGGTTGTTTGTTCAGAGATGCGACTATGGCAGCAGTGATGTGGCATTGAATCTACCCAGGCTGTCCGTATCCCCTTCCAGCAGCTGTGATCAGCATCCAGCTTGAGACATAAGCCGTGGATAGAATTTCCCATTCAACCGAACTGGAAGCCAGAAGCGCGGTACGTCTCAGAAATTAGCCGGGGGAGGTCGGCGAGGAAGCCGAGCGGTTGATTGGACTCCTGAACGAGGTAATTGTCCGTGCGGGAAGCGGGTTGATGCGGATGATTTGGGGGGTGACTTGGGGGTAATTTGGGGAAGTTTAACCCCGCTAAAATGCAGATGATGGAGGAGAAAATACGTAAGCGAGATGTTCCAGATTCCAAACCGACCGTAAACCATGGCACTTCTCAAACGAGATGTGAATTGATGGAAATTGAAACCCCAAAGCCCTTCGATCATGTACCTGGCAAACGATGTTAGTAATGGCAGATGAGTAAGGCATAATCCAGGTAGTGATTGGTGGAAAAATATCCGCAGGGGCTCCCAAAGAGGCAACGTGTTTTGGCGGGGAGGAGAATTCGGAGGAATGTCTGCCGCCTGACATCATCATCTTCTGCTCGCGGTCTTGCACTGTCTGCTGAAGGAGGACACGACTCCATTCAGTATCTGGAAGCAATATGGCCATGGGCAATACCAAGCACCTTCAATTCTCGGGAAATAGATGATGTGCCTGTCCATTGTTTCTCGGGTCGTGGTCGGAATTAACCGACAGACCGAGAAAGTATCTTAGAAGAATGAATGGAATGGGAATGGGAACATCCCACGCACGCCCCACCGAGGGGTCCCAGTTACTGCTGGCGGGGTAAAACTGACCCCTCGTAAAGCATCAACAGCCACTCATCGTCGCGGCACCTCCTCCATCGACTTCGACGATGGACTAGAGGCATGGATGTGACCCCCACCGGAGGACCTCGGCCGTCTGGAAGCGCTCCCTATTTCTGTCGCGCTCGCCCTCCTCTTCTCCCTTCAGTCTTTCCCTTCTCTCCTTCCATCTCTCCTCCTATCTCCCTGTTCCTCCTGAACCACATCCTCTTACACAATGTCTCTCGGAAAGAAGGTTACTCTCAACTCCGGTGCTCAGATCCCGTATGTATTTTCCGCCTACGCTTGCGCGATTGCCAATTGCTGACCCCCAATTAGCCAGCTGGGATTTGGTACCTGGCAGTCTGCCCCCGGTCAGGTCGGTGATGCCGTCTACGAGGCCTTGAAGGCCGGCTACCGCCACTTGGTAAGTCGCGCATGTCCTGGATTATTTAGTCAGTCAGCAACCAGTCACTAACACGATCTAGGATCTGGCTACTATGTAGGTCCCATTTCACACATCGACTCGATCACACAAGCTAATCCAAGCAGCTACCAGAACCAGCGCGAGGTTGCTGAGGGCATCAAGAGAGCCTACAAGGACGTCCCTGGCCTCAAGCGTGAGGACATCTTCATCGTAAGCATATTCCATACATACTACGCCTCAAGAGTATACTAACCCGAGCAGACCTCCAAGCTGTGGAACTCCCAGCACGACCCCGCCGTTGTTGAGAAGGCTCTGGATGAGTGCCTTGCTGAGCTCGAGCTCGACTACCTCGATGTGCGTACCTTGTCAGCTGACATCCACCAACAATCCCTAACATCTTCCAGCTCTACCTCGTCCACTGGCCCGTTTCCTTCACCACCGGCTCCGAGTTGTTCCCCCTCGTCAAGGACAGCTCCGTTGAGGGCGGTGATGTCGTGATCAACGACGACATCTCCATCGTCGACACCTGGAAGGCCATGACCCAGCTCCCCAAGAGCAAGGCCCGCACCGTCGGTGTCTCCAACCACATGATCCCTCACGTAAGTCGCTTCATATACCACTGAATTGACACATGGCTAATCCCCCACAGCTCGAGGCCATCATCAACGCCACCGGCGTTGTCCCCGCCGTTAACCAGATCGAGCGCCACCCCGTTCTCCAGAGCAACGAGCTCATCGAATACTGCCAGAAGAAGGGCATCCACGTGACCGCCTACTCTGTAAGACCCCTACCTCTACTCCCTTCATTAACATCGATACTAACATAATAAACAGGCCTTCGGCAACAACGGCTTCGGCGTCCCCCTCCTCGTCACCCGCCCCGAAGTCAAGGAAGTCGCTGAGTCCGCCTCCAAGCGCCTCGGCACCACCGTCACCCCTGCCCAGGTCATCCTGGCCTGGTCCCAGGTCGGCGGCCACAGTGTCATCCCCAAGTCGGTGACGCCGTCCCGCATCCATGAGAACTTCAAGGAGGTGGAGCTCACTCCCGAGGAAATCGCCAAGGTGTCCGAGCTGGGCAAGGACCGCAGACGCTACAACACTCCTTACGTTGCTAACACGCCTCGCTGGGATATCGACATCTTCGGTGAGGAGGAGGAGAAGCCTGCTGGTCATAAGGTGATTGTTTAAGTGCTGGTCGCTGGTTACACTCTCGCTTGTATGATGATGATGATTATGTGATGGGATATATATATGTGTAGGAGATAGATAAATGTGAAAATAGATTTGGTCTCCAGTACTATTTGCTGCAGGGTATTCAAGTAGTGCTTGGGTGGGGAGAGGGAAGGTAGAGGAAAGAGGAGAGGTGTATGAACATAGTAGGTTGTGAATGAGGGTAACGCTTATAGGAATAGCCAGTACTATATAACCTGGACAGGTAAGTTGGGATACCGTCCATTTAGTTGGCAATCATACGCCATTATTACGGTGTGTTTTCAGATACGAGTCAAGTCACGAATCAACCAGACCGACTGCTTCACTTTTATGTCCATAACTCTGCTAAAATACGCTAGCCAACAAACAACTCCAAGATTTGCACGCCTCAGTTTCTAAATCATGGAAATGATCAACGTCTATAGAATCACTCATACAAAATTAATCATCCACCCGCTAGCTATAAACAAGCAAAATTCTCATAATAGAACTTTCAGAAAAGCGCTAGATGACTTTTGATATAATGCGTCCAACATGACATCAACCAAGATATGATCGAACAGAGCATTTGGGCATTCCCGCGACTCTCAGATCACTATACCCCAAGCATCCCGAGTTGTGGTGTTTAATATGTAGTGAGTAGTCTATACCTTTTATTGAACTAGGACTGATCAAAGCCTTTCTGTACTATGAACTGTAAAGTTTAGATCATAATGTAGTTGCTTAATAGTATATCAATATTTTAGCATTTGCATCACACGCCTCTATAGTAGTAGTACAATGTTATATATCTGACTAGGCTATAAACTAGTAATATGAATGTGTGGTAGATTACCGGATTAAATAGGATCATCTTCATTACACCTTCCCACATCTTGTCTCAGCCATCAATCATCACCCACAAATATATCCATCAAATCCTCAAACCGCGGCGTCCCCAACCCCGTCACCGGATCCCACCCCCCAGCAACCGGGAACCCATCAGTCCCACACCCGGGATTCGACCCAACAGTCACATCCCTAAACGCCTCAGGATGTTCATACAGCACCGGGTTCACAAACCCCACCGTGGACTTCCCCTTCGCCAGCCTCTCCTCGTTAATGCGCGTCAACATGGCCGCGAACGCCGGCGCCGCGGCAGACGTACCACCCACCAGTGTCGCTTCGCCCTGGTTGTAGATGATGATATTGTCTGCGATAGCTGAAACATCGGGGTATCCTCGTCCGATGCGGTTGTATACCCCATCTGTGTTGGAGAAGTCTGTGTAGTTTACTCCGGAGTAGTAAGGGTAGGTGAGGTCGTCGCTGGTAGTGGAGAAATAGGTCTCCACGGAGTGGTTCTGGTAGGATGGTCGGGCGTAGATATTGCTGAAGCCGCCGCCGGAGGGGAAGCGGGTGACTGCTATTTCCTGGTCCTTGGCTGCGTCTGCGCCTAGGGGGAGGTATGTGCCTCCTACTGCGGTGAGATAGGGACATGTGGCTGGGAAATCTGGGACGAAGACGTTGTCTGCATCGCCAAAGCAGGTGCCCGTGCTGGAGGCGACGCCGGAGTCGCCCGATGCGACGACCACGCTGATGCCCTGAAGGCCGAGTTTCATGAACTCGTGGCATTGGCGGCGTTGGTAGGCGATGGGGAGGTCGGCTTCGGGGCTGCCGTAGGAGATGGAGATTACGTTTGTGGGGGTGTAGACGCCGCATTGCTTGGGGGAGGAGTAGCCGCCTGGGGAGGGATCTGGGTATTGAGGGTCTAGAGAGGAGGTTTCGTTGCAATAGGAGCCGTCGATGGCGTAGAGGAAGTTGTTGAGGAGTCCTTTGAAGTTGTAGTTGTCTTCGTAGTTGGGGTCGTCGGTTTGGTAGAGGATGGTGTTCTGGGGCCAGATGATTGGGTAGGCGATTTGGAAGTCCAGGTCGGATTCGGGGCCGGCGTTGGTGACGTCTGTTGGGGCGGTGGCGCCGTCGATGGAGTCGAGGGTTGGATGGGTTCCCTGTGGGATGTCGCTTGGTGGTGTTAGTTGTGTCTAAGGGAGGGTGGAGAGTAATCGAACCTGGCAAAGTTGGCGAAGAAAAGGTTGAGGTCATCTTGGCTGTAGATGTCTCCTAGGTCCTCGAAGATGCCGAGCTCGTTGCCCTTTGTGGCTGTTGTTCCTTTGGTGATGTTGTACATGGCTAGACGGTTAGCGTGAAATCTTGAATTGGGATGGATGAACGTACCTCGAATGCAGTCTGGGGTTACCGCCAGATCGCAGTGTGCTAGCGGGTCGTCGAAAATCTTCGTGATATTGATTGGTAGTGGTGCTAAGATTGGGGGCAGACTGCCAAGAGAGCGCTTCTCTGCATCTCTCTTTTTGGAGGGCGTGCCGCGCACTTCCAGCATCTTTACTCCTGGTGTTATGTAGTCGATGTGCGATTGGATGGTTTCGGGCACATGGTACCTAACTGGTTAGCGGTGTCATGGCATGTAGAAAATGGACTCACTCGTGGCATGTCACATGGGAACTTCCCGTGTCGGCATGGGTGTAGATGTAGTATTCCGTCTGCAGAAGCTGCTCAACCTCGCTTGCATGGGCATCGAACTGTAGCCACTGCTTGTTGTATGATTGCGAGATGCGGCTTGGAGCAATTCCGGCGGATTCAATCCAGGTTCGGACGGTCTCGACGGCCTCATTCGACGGGGCAAATAGGTCGTGCACCTCCTCGCTGGAGAGATGCTTTCCGTAGCGAGACGATTGTGGATGAGACCTGGACAATCAGCTTGGTTCTGGTGAGGAGTCGGAACACATACACCTCCATCAATAAATCATGGCCACGATCCAGGTTGGACTGAGTAAGCCCTATCCGCATAGGCAGTAGGGCACCTTTGTCCAGCCGGCTTTCTTCTACCCAGACACTGGGCAATGCATCGCGCCGCTCATGAACAACATAGTTATGGGGTGTTGGGCTGGCAAACGCTGCCGTAACACTGAGTAGGAAAAGTGAGACATGCATGTTGATCGCAGCGACAGAGCAAGCGTGGCATGCAAGCCATCATCAGGAACGGTGGGAAACGTCGGAATATATGCTAGTTGACAAGAACGCTGCTGATCCCATTGACTAGCATCACTTCACTCTCCATACGCTGGCGTTTGCACTTCCATACCCAGCGGAAGGGAACCTGCCTATGTAGGCTAAATATGATCACCAAACCCTGATAAGAGGCGTGACATCCATCGCCAATCAGGAAAGCGTCTAGCGTAGATCACACTGGGTCAACCCGACCAAGACCCGCGTCCGAGCAAAACACCAGCTATTGAGCTATTGCTGATAGCCAAAGGCTGTCCAGGGCGCCTGGAAACAAAACACAAGCATCAGTTCAACCTACCTAACGACAAGCATATTGTTCAACGGTGAACCCCTCCCCGACATCGACCATAACAAGCCACCCAACCCAAACTACCAAATTGTTATGACCAGCCCTGCAAAACAGAAGCATAGTGGGAAACCAAATAGCGCAAGAAAATAACCCCCTGATCAGCACGAAGATGATAGACAGCGTAAAGAGTATAAGTAGTGGGTGTGTGGGTAATTCAATCCACTAGTGGTGGCTCCACGACGGACGATCAGCACCAGACACCAAAGCTTGTCTTCGGAGTCGGACAATCCACGCGGAATACTGAGTTGGTCTGCATCAGCACCCAGAGGAGTGATAATTTGTTTCCTGTCATTACAGGGTATGTTGGATCGTGCCTTGCTGGATTTTGGGTCGTTGTGCGATGAGATTGTTGAAGGATTGGCCTTGTTAGTAAGCCCAACTTGGTTTATCGTGATGAGGGGTTTATCGAAGCAGACCTTGAACAAGCCATAGTTTCGGTCCTCTTATCTCCACTGGTGGGTCTTGTCGCCATTGCTCAAGAACCATAGCGTCAATAGATCCTCTCCACCGGGCGGAGCAGAGGATAGG